ATTAAATTTCGGAGGACGAAAATTCCAAATTGCAGAAAAATTGAAATTGACAGATAAATATTTTCGTAAAAATTAGAGTATTACTGTCCGGCGTTTTGTTCAATATGTCTTTTATTTTATCATTATACATTAATATTTAGAATATTCAATTATTTCTTAAAAAATACTTTTCTGAAATATGACTAACTAATCACTTTATAATAAAATCTTAGACATTACAGTATGTTTCTTTAAAAAAAAATGCATCATTGTATATATTTTTTTATTTACTATTATAATTACTATATATAGAGAAGACAGGCGTCAAGAGACCTATGAAACCAATTCCATTAATTTTGAAATTGATTGAAGAGGAGATTTTAAATTTAATACTTCTTTAGATAATTATGATATACACCCCTCGGCAAAAATAATAGAACCCCTGTTCTAAAATTTGTTGCTTTATCTTGGGATTTTTTATATTTAACCCATAATTCATAGGAAATTATATATGTCGTATTTGGATAAGGAATTCATAAGGTCCCCTTTTATATCATTTACTAGAGATGATTTCTAATTTATGTGTGTGATGTATTTCAGTGTATGTCTAAAATTTACAGAGCGTGTTGGGGAGACCGGGGCTAGACAAATCAATTTTTAATTTAAAAAAATCATCTATAATTTCGGTCTTTTTATATCTTGGGAACTGCTATATATTGATAAATATTAAATACTTACAAATATATTTTATTAAATTTGTGAGCATTGTCACATTTATTTATTTTTTTGTCAATTTTAATTTTCTCCAAGAATTTTGACACCCATCCCCCCTCACCTTGGATATGGTGCTTCCAAAACCATTACATTTTCTGACATATAACGGAAAAAAATGTCATTTTTATTTCTTAAGATTGATATAATTACAGAATAATTTTAATATCTTAGCAGTTAAATGATAATTCTATATCCAAAATAATAAAAATGAACGTATAATTTTGATAATTTTAGATACATACTTTAAAAGTAGCGCGCTATCGCTACCGCTAACATTTTCAAAAAAGTAGCGTGCTATTATCTACTTTTTACGTTACTTTATAATTTTTTACAAAATATTTTCTAAGCATCTCTATTTCCACAAATCAAAAATATTAAAATTTCAAATATATATACAATTTATTTATTTTTTTATTGCATCTCAATAATAATAACATTTCCATACTGTCTTCCTCAAGTCTAGTCCTACAATTAGAAAGTATAAGCTATGATTAAATAATCGTTCAATTCTAGCGCGCAATGTAGTATTTTTAATATACATTTTTTTTATATAAAAATCGTCAAAAAATTCATTTGAGTATTTTTAGATTTACAAAAATGTATCTAGAGGAGTTTCAATAGTAGTATAATTTATAGTAGGTGGCGTTTTTGATCTGGCTGATGTCAATCTAAATTATAATAGTAATAGTTAGAATAAAAATTATGTAGGCGATAAGTGGATGGCCATGTTTGCCAACAAGCCAGGTCACCACACTTTTGGCTAAAATGTGAAAGGATTGAAATATGTATATTTTAGCATGTTTTGATAAAATTTGAGTGGTTAATTAAGTATGCATAACATTAAAATAATTTATAAAATATTATCCAAAATTTATTACAGATACAGCTTTGATTCAATTTTTATTTTAAAGATTTAGGATTGGGCTACACATTGATATTAAATTTGTTTGATTTATTACCTTTAAATGTTTCCTCGTTGAAGCTACTAGTCTTGCTTGATAATAAAACCTCAATTAATTTTTACTCTGTGTTAATTATTTTTATCGAGATTAAAGTATTTGCAAATTCAGGAAAAAGAAATTCAATATTCTCAACATTTTATAGGGAAATTACTGTCGATATGATCTGTACTAAAATTATTTATAATATTAGTCTATCGTCATTTTAAATTATTTTGAAAACTTTAACGCAGATTTTTAAATATAAATTTCAAAATTAAATAAAATATAAGAAGATTGATTTTAGAATTATAAATGCTAATTCGCTTTCTAAATTAGTGGCAAGCTACCGCTACCGCTATCGCTAATTTTTTTTTAAAAAGTAGCTCACTAAAGAACAGCGTGCTACTTTAAAAACACTGGTGTCAGGCTTTAAACATAAATAAAATGTTTTTTTAATTTTTACATTTCAAGCGTGGTGTTAAAAAAAATGGCAATAGAAATATCTTTATAAAAATATAATTTTTGAACTTTATAATATTAAAAACCACTAAGATTAAAAGAAAGCTTAAAAAAACTTAAAGATGACGATTATGACAATTGTCACTTTTCTAAGGTACATATTAACTGAAAATTTAATTTAACATGTTTACAATATATATTTTTACCTATTTGCTTCAAAAAAATTCGACAAAACTTAAAAATGACGATTATGACAATTGTCACTTTTCTAAGGTACATATTCACTGAAAATTTAATTAAACATGTTTGCAATATATATTTTTACCTATTTGCTTCAAAAAAATTCGAAAAAACTTAAAAAGGACGATTATGACAATTGTCACTTTTCTAAGGTACATATTCACTGAAAATTTAATATAACATGTTAATATATATATTTTTTCCTATTTGCTTCAAAGAAATTCGAAAAAACTTAAAAATGACGATTATGACAATTGTCACTTTTCTAAGGTACATATTCACTGAAAATTTAATATAACATGTTAATATATATATTTTTACCTATTTGCTTCAAAGAAATTCGAAAAAACTTAAAAATGACGATTATGACAATTGTCACTTTTCTAAGGTACATATTCACTGAAAATTTAATTTAACATGTTAATATATATATTTTTACCTATTTGCTTCAAAGAAATTCGACAAAACTTAAAAATGACGATTATGACAATTGTCACTTTTCTAAGGTACATATTCACTGAAAATTTAATTAAACATGTTTGCAATATATATTTTTACCTATTTGCTTCAAAGAAATTCGACAAAACTTAAAAATGACGATTATGACAATTGTCACTTTTCTAAGGTACATATTCACTGAAAATTTAATTAAACATGTTTGCAATATATATTTTTACCTATTTGCTTCAAAAAAATTCGAAAAAACTTAAAAAGGACGATTATGACAATTGTCACTTTTCTAAGGTACATATTCACTGAAAATTTAATTTAACATGTTCACAACATATATTTTACCTATTTGCTTCAAAAAAATTCGAAAAAACTTAAAAATGAAGATTATGACAATTGTCACTTTTCTAAGGTACATATTCACTAAAAATTTAATTTAACATGTTCACAACATATATTTTTACCTATTTGCTTCAAGAAATTCGAAAAAACCTAAAGATGACGATTATGACAAATTTTAACGCAAGCCGACCCAACAAGCCGACCCAGCAAGCCGACCCATCAAGCCGACCCATCAAGCCCACCCATCAAGCCGACCCATCAAGCCGACCCATCAAGCAGACCCATCAAGCCAACCCATCAAGCCGACCCATCAAGCCGACCCAACAAGCAACCCAGCAAGCCGACCCAACAATCCGACCCAACAAGCCGACTCATCGGGTCGGCTCATGTGGCCCATTGGGTCGGGTCGGGTCTGATATATGGCTAAATAGGTTGGCTCGGGTTTAAGGTCGTTTTTTTCGGCTCAAACCTTGATGGGTTTTCGGCCAAGCCGACCCGACCCAGCAATTTAACATTGATAAGTGCTGCAATATGATATTTTTAAAAGCTTGTAAATTGAGCAATAAAGAGCTGCAAAATAAGATATTTATATATAAAATAAATATACTTTTACTGTAATTTTGCTTAATTGATAATAAAGAGCTGCAATATAAGATATTTAAATATAAAATAAATATACTTTTACTGTAATTTTGCTTAATTGATAATAAAGAGCTGCAATATAAGATATTTAAATATAAAATAAATATACTTTTACTGTAATTTTGCTTAATTGATAATAAAGTGCAATATAATAAGATTTTTAAACATATAGTAAATATACTTTTACTGTTATTTAGCTTAATTGAGCAATAAAGAGCTGCAATATGATATTTATAAAAGCTTGTAAATTGAGCAATAAAGAGCTGCAAAATAAGATATTTAAACATAAAATAAATATAATTTTATTGTAATATAGCTTAATTGATAATAAAGAGCTGATGATATTTATAAAAGCTTGTAAATTGAACAATAAAGAGCTGCAATATGATATTTATAAAAGCTTGTAAATTGAGCAATAAAGAGCTGCAAAATAAGATATTTAAACATAAAATAAATACACTTTTACTGTAATATAGCTTAATTGATAATAAAGAGCTGCAAAATAAGATTTTTAAACATATAGTAAATATACTTTTACAGTTATTTAGCCTAATTAATAATAAAGAGCTGCAATATGATATTTATAAAAGCTTGTAAATTGAGCAATAATAAAGAGCTGCAATATAAGATATTTAAATATAAAATAAATATACTTTTACTGTAACTTTGCTTAATTGATAATAAAGAGCTGCATCTATCGATATTAATTTTTTTAATATCGTTAATATTATTTCCTATAATAAGATTTTTAAACATATAGTAAATATACTTTTACAGTTATTTAGCCTAATTGATAAGAAAGAGCTGCAATTTGATATTTATAATAGCTTGTAAATTGAGCAATAATAAAGAGCTGCAATATAAGATATTTAAACACAAAATTAATATACTTTTATTGTTATATAGCTTAATTGATAATAAACAGCTGCAATATGATACTTATAAAATTCTGTAAATTACAGTAAGCTTAAGATATTTGAACATGCAAAAAGCTTAAAGAAATTTGAGCATATAAATTTTAAGCTTATCCGAAATTTACCGAAAAGTTTACCGACAAAATACATATTTATAGCTAAAAAATAGTAAAGGCGGTACGATACGGGTATTTAGAAAATTGCTATACGTTGACTTGGTAATGCCTATCATTATCCTTATTTTCTCCCCCTCGATTAGTTTCACATATGTTTTCTGCGTTACAAAAAATTGGAAAGTTAAACCTCACTGGCTTATATTCAAATATAAATGATGAAAACAAAAAGCTGATATCGTATGAAAATGATGGTATTCTAAACATATATTATACGATCTATTATATATTTAGTAGTTTTTGAAGATGAATATAATATTGAAAAAGCTTCAATGCCTATAGATTTTCAAATTTATTTCAAACATTTCTTTATAAGTTTTTTAGAAAATGATATATTATCATTTGCAAAAAAATATGTATTAATAATTTTTAAAAGTAAACCTTATATTTTTCTTAAAGTTATTTTTATGTAGTAAATTTATCAAAATCTACAAAACATACTTACGAATTTACTTATCAAAGAAGTTTTGAGAGAGAACTTGGATTTATTACTTCACTATTAGCTTTACCAATATATAAAAGGTTATTTTTATAACAGATAATATTATTTGATTAATTATCATTTTTTAATTAAAAATTGCCCAAGTATTGCATCTATTTTTATATTATAAATGATAATAGTTTAGTTTCATAATGCATAAAATTTATTAAAATAAAAATCATGGACTTTTTTATAATATTTTAAAAAATGAAATAAATATGACTTATCTGGATGGTCATCAGCATAATATAATGAAAATCAAAGTTAGAACTCAAAGACAAGTCTGGTGTTGACCACTTAAAAACCCAATCCAGATTGCAGATCTTAAATTTTTTAGTTATGCTTTACACCCAATTGAAGTTGGGCTTATAATTAAAATCACATATATATGATGAAACAATGATTAGTGATGAATGATTTTTTAAAAATGACCAACTAAATATTTTATCCAGAAAAAATATTATGTAAGCCTGAAGATTCTTCTGATAGATGGCACAAAGTTTTGAATATATATTAGCAAAATCTCAGTTTAGGCAATATTTTTCTGCCGAAAATATTGAGTTAATCATTTTTAAAAATCGGCCTAAATCAAGCCATTCAAGAATAAAATTGATTACTGATGATTTATTTAAAATATAATAAATACTAATATCCTTGTTCATAGAGGTGATTGGAATTAAATCAAAAGGAATTAATGGGGTACATACTAGAGGTTTGCATTGGGCAGGTTTTTGGCCTGCAAGCATGTCCAAAAAAAATTTTAAAGAATGGGCAGGTTAAAAATTTTTAAAATTTTTGTTATTTGAAATCATTTAAGTAAATATTAATAAAAAATTGTTCTTATGAACTTTTTGGATATTATAAAACTTTTTTCTTAAAATAAATAAACTTAAAAATTAAAATTTCATTTTATGGTAATGTAATAAAACTTTTTTCTTAAAATAAATAAACTTTTTTGGATATTGATAATTAAAATTTCCTTTTTTGAGAATAATGAATATTTCTACATTGTATTGTTTTATTTTAGTAATGATTTGTTTATCTTTATATTTGCCCTTTTCATTTTCTTATATAATATATAAATTATATTTTTTATAACATAATTTTTAACAAAAAAATATTTTTTTATTTAATTTTTATTTTTAAATTATATCATGAATAAAGAATATATATCTAAAAAAAATAAAAATAATTTTTACAATTTAAAAGAAAATGAATCAGATAATAATAATCTCAAATCTTCAATGTGGAAACAATTTAAAATCATTTTCGATGAAAATGACAAGCTAGATTGGATTCGCTGCAATGATTGCTAATCCATCTATAAATATAATAAAAAAAGTGATACATCCTTCTTCCTTCTGTATCAATGTTCATATACAAATTATGAAGATTTGATAGATGATAAAAAAATAACTGGATATTTCAAAAAAGACAATTCTCAATTAAACAAATGATAAAATTGGGTCCACTTTTGTAGAATACTGCGCTAAAGACATTAGGTATTTTAATTTTTATTATTCTTTAATATTTTTTATGTCATTTCAAGCCATTCAAGGACATGGATTTGTAAATCTTTTACAAAGATGTGTCAATTTAAGAGCCATATATGGAAAATTGGATGTCGAAAAAATTATTCCATGCCCGACAACAGTTAGAAGGCACATAGCTAAAGTTACTGAGGATCTTAAGGAAATATTATTTCCTAAAATTGGAAAAATGATAAAAAATTCCACTTACTCATGTACGATATATGGTGTGAGGATTTTACTTAAGATGATTACATATCTCTTATCAATCCATTATATACAAAATTGGAAATTAAAAAACAATTTCTTTTTATTTCGCAATTTCAAGAAGGAAAAAAAAAGGAGAGAATATTCTTAAAGAATTATTAAAAAAATTTTTAAAACTTGGTGTTCCTCGAGAATATTTTTCCAAGCTCGTCTTTGTAACGGACCAAGGAGCAAATATTAAAAAGGCGCTGGAGGGGTAAATTTTTTATTAATTTTATAAAATCTATCTATTAGGTAGATATTATAATTTTTGAAAAATTCTGTATACATTAAAATAAAAAACATTCATATTTAGGAACTATATTTTCCGTTTATTTTTTCAAATATTAGATTTAATAAACTAAACTGTTCAGCACATATGTTGAATACAATACTTCGTAATGCATTCACGCCAACTTTTATTTTGAAAAATGTTCCCAAGATTAATAATATTTTGTCAACTGCAAAATTGTTGACCACTTATTTCAAACAAAGTGGCAAGGCAAAAAAATCTGAGCAAGACGTTACAACATATTGATATATAAGATGGAATACAAAGCAAAAATGCTACAAAGCATTTATATGATGATGTATGATGAGATTTTTTTGTTTTTACAATCTCGTGATATGACTGAAAAAATGGGAGCTATGGGAAAGGAAGATTTAAAAACACTGATAGATTATTTGGAGCCATATAAAGATGCAACCAATGCTTTTGAGGGCGACTGCATGCCTACACTACAGAACGTTCTTATATGGTGAGAAATTAATATTTGGGATTTATATATATGGATATAATGCCGAGAATAACAAATTCCGAAAAAATAATAAAGAAAAGAGCTAAAAATTTTATAATTGAAAAATTTGAAATCTATAAGTTCCATAAAATTCAACATTTTTAATTCCAAAGTTTCGACAAGTGAGGATATTATCGTCGGAAGAAATTAATGAAGTAAAAAAAACATATTGAAAACATGTTAGATTTGATTTGCATAGAAGAAAATAACATCGATGTGGATGAAAATCTGATTTTACCCGTTTCCTCAAAAGCAAATAGAATCCAATTAAAGGGTATTAATAGATTGTAAAATTCGCTTAGCTACTTATTAAATGCAATGTTTGAAATAAATAGCATTCGCGTCAAAATGAAACCACAACAGATGGGAGGATGAGGTTGTTACAGAGGAGAGTACCTTACCTAATGACATAACAAAATATTTAAATCTTAAAGTAATCAGTTTTAATATGTACAATTTAGCAAAATTTTAAGCTGTATTACAATTAATTTAAATTTTAAATTACTTTTTAAAATTTATTATTATTAGTTTCACTTTTATTTAAAGATCTCACTTGAGGAAGAGGATATACTTCAAACGGATATCCTACTTTGGTGAAAACGACAAGAAAAAGATTTGCCAAAGCTATCAAGATTAGAAAGAAAAATTTTGGCAATTCCTGAATCTAGTCAACGACGATATAACATCTGGAAGGTTTTTAGAACAAAAAAGAAAGTGTTTGAATCCAGAAAATGTAGATTCATCATTATTTTTTGCATTATAATTACATATAATATCAATTTTATTTAAATTTTTTTCATAAATATTTTATTTGATCAAATAAATTATCCATAATTTAAATTGATATAGTAATTTCCGAAATTATAAAACTATTTGTAGAGGTGTAATGCTGAAATTTTTTTTATTAGGAGCTTAAAAAATTGAAAGAATGTCCATAATTAAATTTTATAAAAGCGGGCTTGGATTAAATTTTTTTTTATAAATAATGGACGGGCGGGTAAAAATTTTTAGACTAATGGGCGGGCGGGTTATTTTTTTGAAAACTATGGGCGGGCTGAGCGGGCGGGTTAAAAAATTTAAAACATTGGGTGGCGGGCTTATGGCCTAGAAATCCGCCCAATGCAGACCTCTAGTGCATACTATTAGAAAGCATGTTTCTTTTTTTCGTGAAAGTAAAACTGATATAGGGAATTTTAAATAAAACTTCTTGATTTCATATAAAATACAAAAGTTTCTAAAAGGATATCTTATTCTTATTGTTATAATTATCATTGCTAGTAGTTAATTTACTTAATTCACACTTTCTCAATCATAAAAAATATAGGAAGTTCCATGAAACGTTTGCCACGTTATTCATGCTAAAGCAATTAAATGAAAAAAATTGATCACCATTAAAATAAATTATCATAATAAATATATGTTTTAAATTTAGCGACGGAAATCATTGGACTGCTATTTTTGTGGGTTTCGCTAGTGGTTACTTAAAGGTTATAAAAGATGATGGAAATGATCTATTTATGTTGAAATTCGATGAGATGCCAATCGTTAATATCAAAATTAACACGCGTTTTAACAACGATATACATTCGCAACCAGTAGAAAACAAGGTTTATTGAGAAAGATCAATTTTATTTTTATAAATGAAATTTTAAAAAATTGTGAAGGGACTAGAAAGCTGAAAAACTTATCAAAATAGGAGTAAGTTTTGACGACGGATTTTTTTAGCCCATTATTGAAAATGAACCATAACCATAAGGTAACTATATAGCTACAAGCCAGAAATACCACTGAACCCAAACTACTTAAAACTTTGGGTTATGTTTAAAAAAAAATTAAAGAAATATTATAAAACTAATTAATAAATATTAAATTGTATCAATGAATTTATATAATAAATATATATCAGATTTCTTCACAATCGCAACTGTTGATTTTACACCAAAATTGTATCATTACTATCGAAGACTATCACCTCTACCAAACTTTGCAATTGGCAAAATCTCGTTCCAACAAAGGTTTTTTTTAAAATAATTGAATTGAATGATCAAATGGCTATATGAATTATTTTGAGTTATATTGTAATTTATTACTATTTATATTAAATTTACTTTAAATTGAGCTCTTATGTAAATTTAAATTATATTTGCTTGCGTCACTTCTCACTTGACTCTGAATAAATTAGAGTTCGGGTTTTCATAGGCTTAAAAATTATGTGATAAAGTATTTTTTTTAACAATAATAATTCAAATTGATTCGTTATCAGATTTTTTAAATTTTAATTAAATAAAAAATAATTCCTTAGGCGAGTTGACTATGTTTTTAACAGAACTGGCAAATGACGAAATACCACATAGAAAATTATGGCTAAAAGGAAATCAACAAAACATCGACGACATAGCTATATGTGGTAAAAATAGCGGTTATAATTATTGCTAAATTTTGGAAGCCATTTTAAGATTGGATATTTTTTAAACATATTTATTTAAGAGATAGTTTAATTTACTTTTGTTGCCTTGGCTGATTAAAATTAAGTAAGCCACCATTCATCCAGTAGATGGAAATGGGAGAGGAAGATTTAAGATAAAATTCGTTAATCATATAAGGAAAGGAATATTATTAGATAATGAACATCAGCTGTAAAATTTATAATACTACAATGCAAGTGTTAATTTGAACACTTGTTGACTAGAGTCCCCGCTCAGTAATTTGAGAAAAATATATGGGTTCCAAATGATAATTTAGATTAGAATTCTGGCTTGAGAAAATAGAATTTGTTCACAAAATTGCTAGACCTATTGCTTTTATTAAAATTATAGTATTTATTAAAATAATGTATATACATTACAAGGTCAATCGAAAATATTACATATATAATTATATTTAAAACATATGAAAAACTTGGGCTAAACTTTAAGCCACAAGTTGACTAAATATCGATTTTTAGGGAATACTCCACGGATAAAACTTTTAAATCATAAATCTTTGTCATTCTAAAAATAAAATATAATTAGGGAATGAAAGTTGATATTAGATTAAATGCTAGTTGTATTTTCCTTTACTTTTGTGAAATATGGATATAATATATGAACAAAATTATCTTTGTAATTCGATAGCAATGATGATACAACATGCATAATGAAGCAAGCATATCATCATATTTTTGACCTAGTTTTAGACTCTTTTCATACTATCAAAACTTCTTAAGAATATATTAAAAAATATATAAAATTTGATAATAAAAAATATGTTCAAAAAAATGTGAGAAGGTTTCTTTATGTACCGTGGATTGATATACTATGTGAGTTAATTAAAATTCGTTGAAGTAGGTAAAAACCTTACTGAGGATCCCCCAAAATTAAGCGCATTTTTGTGGGGAATGCTTTGAAGAAATCTTGGACATCATATATACCATTTAATTAATTTGTCACATTTTTTATGATTTGAAATCCTACTCTATTTTTTTATAAAGATAATTAAATTAAAAAGGTAGTATAATTATGTATTAATAATTACTTTATAAAATCACGATTACATGTAATAATTACCGTTTTTACAAAAGAAATTAGTAATTATAATTAATACAAAATTTTTCTAAGTAATTGTAATTAGGAATTAAATATTTTTTGAGTAATTATGCCCATCTCTGGTACAGGGTACCAGTTTATTTGATTTTAAATAGAGACCTTCAGAATTACCATTTGCACGGCCCGGCCCAGATTTTTTTTTCAAAAATTTTTTACGGCTCGGCCCAGGCCCGGGTTTAAAAATTTTAGGCCCAGCCCGGATATTAAAAAAAATTTTTTTAGGCACGGCTTGGAATTTTTTAAAATTATATTCGACCTGGTATATACAAAAAATTCACCTATTTGGTATTTTATCATATTTTTCGGCGAGTATTAACATTATAAGCAAGCATATTAGCTAATGTTGTTAAACGGCTCGTTTTGAGCCGATTTTTAAAAACGGCTAACTCAATATTTTAGCCAGAAAAATATTGACTAAAAGCCTTGAAATTTCGATATTATTTGTCTAGACCTTTGCTCCTTCTATGAACAAAATTTTCAGGCTTGCGTAATATTTTTTTGGATAAAATACTGAGTTAGCCGTTTATAAAAATCGGCTCAAAACTAGCCGTTTAACAACACTATTATTTTTTATGTATTCTAAACAGATATTTAGTGTAATACAAATTGTTACTATAAAAAATTTGTGTAAATAATATTTTGACAATATACTATTAATTGTATTTATAAAAAAAAAATAAAACTGATATTTTAATTAAAAAAATATAACATATATTATATAATAATGTATTTATTACCTATTATCCTTTGCGTATTTATTCCATGGCAGGAAAACTATAATTATATTATGTAATTGTATATTTTTCAGTTCCGGCCCGGTTTCTTCTTCTTCTTATCCATTTTATGGCGATTTCCAGGTTTACCCGGGTAGGCCAGTTTTCCCTCTGATTTTTCTTTTCCATTTTTGACGGTCCTGAGCATCAATACTTGTAAGATTCATGCTTCTCATATCCGCCGCTATCACATTTGTCCACGTCATCTTGGGTCTTCCTCTAGGTCTTGATCCTCCTACTTCCATCATTGTGCATCTCTTTACCCAGTCATCTCTTGTCATACGTTCCACATGCCCAAACCATCTTAGTCTATTTCGTCGCAATACCATACCAATCATTTCTATACCTAATCTTGCTCGCAATTCCTTGCTAGTTTCTCTCTCTCTCAGAGATCCCCACACATCCATCTAACCACCCTCATCTCTGTTCTTTCTAATTTGGCTTCGTGAGTCGCTTTCATTGCCCATGTTTCACCGCTATAAACTAAACAACTCCTCACACAGCTAACGTACACTTTCCCCTTTAACTTCAGAGAAACTTTTTTATTTGTAAGAATAGACGACATTTCTCTGAACTTCTTCCAAGCTTGTCTGATCCTTGCAACAACGGCAGAATCTACACCACCATCTGCGTTTAGCATATCACCCTTATCCACTTTTTCTAGGGTTAACCCATTGCCAATATCCAGACCACCATTTTTTAGGTTATTATTATGTATCCCTTTCATGCATGTTTTACAAATAAAGGTCATTCTTTCTAACATCAAACTGCCTTTTTTCCTGCTACATCTTTTATGTACCTATTTCTGGCATCTGGTGCATTGGATAGAATTTCTAGCAACTCCTTTCCCACATACACCACAAGGCCACTTACCGGATTTTTCCATCTTTAGATTTTCCCCACCAATCATCACCTTTGTTTTTGATGCATTCATTTTCAGGCCCTTTGCTTCCATAGTCATCTTCCATTTACTAACTTTATCCCTCATTTCTCCCTCACTGTTTGCCATTAATACAAGGTCATCTGCATATAATATCTCCTAGGGAAGTCCTTCACGCATTTCTCTAGCCACCACATCCATTACTAAGATAAATAATAATGGACTCAGCACGGATCTTTGATGAAGTCCTACCTTTACCTCAAAGCTGTCACTATCACCATAATCCGTCCGTACTGCTGTTTGTGCTCCAACATACATTGCCATCACTGTGGTAACCAACCATTCCTCCACACCTGATTTTCTCAAGGCCCATTTAGTAATCTCACGCGGCACCCTATCAAATGCTTTCTCCAAATCAACAAACGCATAATAGAGCTTCTTTTCCTTCGCAAGATACTTCTCCTGAATTTGTCTCAACATAAAAATTGCATCTGTCGTGCCTTTTCCCAATGTAAAACCAACTGCATTTCATCAATTTTAATTTGTTTCCTTAACCGCTTCTCTAACACTCTCTCAAATACTTTCATTGCATGTTCCAAGAGTTTAATAGCTCTGTAAGACCCACAATCTAATGGATCACCTTTCCTCTTGTATACTGGGATAATTATACTTCTTCGCCAGTCCTCGGGAATAGTACCTTCTGTGACAATTTGATTGGCTAAATTCATTAACCATTCAATCCCTAAATCATCAGAACCTTTAAACATCTCTGATACCACCATCGTTAAACCCGATGCCTTCCCTTTCTTCATCTTTTCCACTACTCTCTTTATCTCGTCTTGCTAAATTTACACCCTGGACTTTCTATCTTTGCACAAATAATATTATTATCCCATTCATTTTCTTCATTCAAAAGTCCTTTCATGTAAATCTTTCAGGTGTTCTTAATACCACTACCACCAAGCGTCATTTTTCCTTCCATATTTTTCAAACACTTTACACCTATCACATCCTGCCTCTTTTTTGACATCTGTTTTGCCATTCGAACCATATTTCCAATTCCATCAGCGCATTCCATTTCTTTAGCAAACTCGTGTCTTTTTTCTTCTTGAGCCTTCGCTATTAATTTCTTAGAATTTCTTTTAGCCATCTTGTAAATATCATTATCACTATTTTCTTTGCTATTAGACCATACTTTAAAACACCTCCGTTTCTCATCCACGGCTTTCGCTACCTCCAGGTTCCACCAAGTCTCCTTATGTCTAGGCGGCCCTTTTGTCCATCCACATACCTCCTCAGTTGTCATTACCCAGGCTTTCTTCATGGCTTCCCACTTGTCATTTACCCCAGATGCTTGTGCCACCTCCGCCTCCCTAATCGATAATGCCATATTGAATTGACGTCTAGCACTCTCCTTCAATTTCCAAACCTTCAGCCTTGGGACAAACTTTCTTTTAGTGACCCTGGCACCTTTAAGAATGAGATCTCCTACAACTAGTCGATGCTGATTTATACATTCCTCTCCCGGTATCACTTTCACATTTTTGACTATACATCGATCACATCTCCTTAATAACAAGTAATCCACTGCACTTTTGGTACTACCCGACTTATAAGTAACAAGTTTCTCTGATTCTTTCTTAAACATTGTATTACAGACAATCATATTCATAGCATCACTAAAATCTAAAATCCTCTCTCCTTCCAAATTTCTCATGCCGTAACTGAACCCTCCATGTACTCCTTCATAACCCTCACTACTCGCTCCCACATGTCCATTCAGATCACCAGACAGGATAATTCCCTCTTCATTTGCCAGTCTCGATGTCACCCCCAATAGACTGTCCCAAAATATATCTTTCACTTCTTCCAACCTGAGGAACATATGCCGAGATAATATTATATAGCTTTCTACCAAAAATCATCTTGATAACCATTATCTGGTTGTCTAGCCTTCTCACTTCAACTACTTTGTCTACCAATTTCTCCGCAACCAATACCCCAACTCCAGCCTTACCATCATTACCTCCTTGCCAAAAGAATTTATACTTTTCGCTAGTCTTGCCTCATTCTGGTCCCATTTCCTTTCCATCTAGTCTCCTGTATGCAGCGCACAACTATATGCCTTCTGTGCAATACATCGACGATCACAGGGAATCTTTTAGACCTCCATTAGCCGCCAAAAGACGTTGCCACTCCCCCGCCACGATGAGGCTGAAGTTAGGATTTTGGGAGAGTTCCGGCCCGGTTTTATTTTAAAAATTAAAAGGCCGGGCTGGTCTTAGGACCGTGCCTGCAGGTCTCTGATTTTAAATATGTGTTATCTTTTAGTAACTTGGAATTATAAATTTAATTAAAATTAGAAAATTAGTGTCCTTTATTTTCTCACTTTTCCAAATTTTATACCATCTTCGAAATTGTCTATATTATAAAAATCAGATAATTTCGCTACCATTTTACAAAGCTCATTCCCTAATATCTTTACATTTGATTGGGTTGCGATTAAATAATAAAAATCCATGGTTTGTTATATTTTCGAAGATTCGTAATTCGAATGATGTATCTCTAAATATGGGATAGAAATTCATCTATAATATTCCTTTTCAGGAGGAGCTGAGTGATCTATTTTTTGTAGCCTCGGATGTTGAATTTTCGTTTCCTTCTATATCTCATCTGCGACTAGCTTTCTTTGTGCAATTCAATAAAGATACTATCGATTCGTGTTGTTTTTCAATACAATTTTTAAAATATATATTCACATTAGTACCTCAAATAGTTCCAGGAGACTCGAATATATTTTCTATAATAACTAACCAACCACATTTTATAAAAGTTGGTATGGTTATTGTGATTGGAAGTCTTTATGCCTTATGCCTTGTTTTAAACTCAAATCTGAGTTCTTCGACTATTATAATATAGTAGGTTGCAAAATTTCCTATGATTTTATATTTCTCCATCTACCGAGTTTACATAAACAGAAAATATTTTAAACGAGATGCTTCTTTGAGAACCATCTCTAAAATAAGGTTGTGCACTTGCGCTTTACTAACCATCACAGAACACCCATAATATGTTTGACCGACTAATAATCCATTGTTTAAATTTGGAAATGAAATGATATATATAAAAAAGATGTGATAAAATACAAACTCAAGGATAGAGAGATAAGATTTATATAAATTTCTAATACTAACCAGGGAATAGTAAAACCTTCAAATAAATAAAAATCTTAAAATAATACTGAAAATTTGAAAAATAAATATAATACTCTTTAAATTTAATTTCCATAAAGAGGCAAAATTTTCAAATAACATAAAAATTCTAAAAAAAATAAAAAACTCTTTAAATTTAATTTCCATAAAGAGGCAAAATTTTCAAATAACATATATATCCTAAAATGCAATATATAAAAATAACACGTGTAATCTTTTTTCAAGGGAGGACAAGTGCGCCCATTTGTCCCTCCCCTCTTGAAGTCTCTGCTAATTGAAAATTTTAAAAACCAAGTTGGGCAATCTTAGTAAAAATATCGTATATTTATAATATTAATTCAATAACAGACCTAGTTTTTATTTTTAAATAGAATCATGATTATTTTAAGGTCGGAACTTATTATCAACTTTCGATCAATTGCGATTGATATCCTCTTACGAAGCATTTCGATCCGTAGTACCCCCAAGTGGTAATTTTAATTTATACGTTATCAGCGGAGAGAAACCTTATCTAGGATTTTACTACCTTGAAGAAGTTTAGTTTTTTTAAAAATTATATATAATATATACTAAATACCATAAAATATAATATAGCACAACGTAATATTTTATCATTTAATCAAGAGTGTAGTCTCACCACTAAGGGGAGGGAGGATTTAATTTTTTTTAGCATAAGCCTAAATCGATTTTTTCAAAATTTAGCCGATTTTATGAATTATCAAATGTTTAAATTTAATTTTATAAATATAAACTGTTTACTTGGATAAAAAATAGTTAAAATCAAAGACACATTTTATAACTGGACCGAAAACGGGTTTGAATATCGGTCTATTCGGTTTACATCACCTTTTACCTTCACTAGTCCTCTGAGATTTTCTTTTCAAAGTAATTTCAGCACTATGCGTACGTCTAAAACTCAATGCTGAATAACCTTATTTAATACGATTTTTGTAAGGAGTGATTATTTTTTTTGAAATGATCAATATCAAAAAAATATATTCTTTAATCCTATTTAATATCCGCCCAAAGGATGAGACCGGAAATCAGATATTAAACAAAAACATCTCCAACCAAATAGTTCTAGCCAAGTCAAAGATCAAAGGTACCTTAAATTCATCGAAAAATGTTTTAATGGCCAATTTGCCCGGATTTATAAAAGGCGGTAAATTGGTGGCGAATACATCAAAGCTTGCCAACACCCTGAGTGAAGCGACCAATAAAGTGATATCTCGTTTGACGCTCGGAAATATTTATTTGAGGTTTAAATTCATTTTAATTTTTTTATATAATTGATAGATTGCTACACGGGCCAGTGTTAAGTAATTTTTTAAATATATAGTTCTTGCGGTTATGGTTAATTTTACGTCATTTTTTAGTTCTCATTTCTATATTTACTAAAACAAAATCTCGCTACTTGAACCAAATTTCAAAATCCGGTCAAAAGTCTTATTTCCATAATGTTAAATTTTTTTATTAAATGGTATATTCATTTTAAAAGTAGGTTATATATCATTTTTTCATTGCACTTTCATCTTTATAGCTCTAATTATTGCATTTCTACAATAGTCATTTTTAAAGTTGTTTTAACGAAAAAAAATTTAATAATAAATGTTTCATCGTCTAATTAGATTTAAATATCATATTTACAAAAATGGAAGATTTGGATTGATGGACGTGTCTAGGAAAGGTACTAGATTGTACATCAGCCCGGACCTTAAATACATTGCCATATGTGATAATTTAGGCAGAATATCGATTCTCGACGTACGCTTATCTCACATCATTTATATGTTGAAGGGTAAATTATAAACAACAATTTTTTTATACATTATTTTAAAATATAAGGTTGACAAATTTTTATGAGACCCCTAATCTTTTCCAAAATTATTATAATTAGACATGCTAAAATCATTTATTGTTGAAAAAATTAATATCTTATAAAAAAAATAAGATTGAAAAATTTGCTATACCTAAAGAAAGATAACGACAATCAATATTCTATATATAAAAACTATTATATTTATTAACATAACATTTTTTTTCAATACGATTACACACGGTAGTTCCCTTTGATAAATTCAAATAACGTAGGGATGCAGACTAGGATGAAGGCCTAAGAATATGCTTTATTTTACTAAACCGCTGTTCAGGTTTAAGTCTGATTTGCTAGGGTTAAGTTTATATAAAAGATTTCTAGGATTTCTGAATTCATTAATAAATTTGATTTTTTTTCATTGAGAAAGATTGATTAGAGGCGGAGCTTATTAGTAAATTAGAAACTGATGATAAATTAGGGTTATATAAACTAGTTATATGTCTTGAACGATGTTTATTTTCACTATTTGAGCCCTAGATGGCACACTCATTGCTTATATAGATATTATATCATTGTATAAAACTATTAGAGTTGTATTTAATTTTCGAAATTTTTTACATTCTTGGATAGGCTACAGAGAGGCGTTTTGTAGTTGGTGTCATTGCCGAAAAGATAAAAATGTTACACAACGCGACATTAAAATATATCCAGCCAACACTAATATCGAAAAATATTTTTTAGTTCTATACGCACCCAGACGCGGTTTAATCGAAATTTGGCACGTTGATTCTATTTTCATACACAGAGTTGAGGCTTTAAATGTTTGCAAAAATGGCCAGTAAATTATTCTTTTATAATTTTTAAGTGAGGGATTTACATTTATACAGATTCTTATTATTTATTTAAACCTATGTATTTGTCGATATTTTTTAATTGGCCAGATCAGCCAAAATTGCCCACAAAGTGTTATATTAATTTAAAACAAAATTTAGATGATACCGGATTGGTTGATTTTGATCGGTTTGCCTTCTATATATCGGTTTTTTTAAATTTTGCTAGTTTAATTTAACGAGATATTATATTATTTAGTTAAATTTTTATTTGAATTGTACTGGAACAATTTTCTTAATCTTTTTTTTTCAAGCCGAGAATTTTTAGTAGAGAAGGAAAAATTAAAGTTATTTTTTTTTGCATAAACATTATAAATTTTAATTCCTTCATCCTTTACAATAAATTATTTTTCTTAAAATTTATTTTTATGATAGATTGATAAAGATGCATAATTTTCAACTCGGGATGGAAAATAAGGATAATAACGGCCTTAAGAATCATTACTTAGAATGCGTTCTCATAGAACCTGACGGAAGTCTTAAATCTATCAACGTCGATCCCGCAAGCTTATTAAAGTTGAAATCGTGAAATTTTATATATAAAATAAATTTGTTATTGGTTTTTATCACAACATTTCCTAAATTCAGCCATATTTTTGATTTAGACCCAAACGATTCCTTATTATAATTTTCACAGAAATAGAGTCTAATTCACTAAATATAAAGTTGTTTAGTCTTGTTGAAATATATTGTATTTGTAATTATATTGAACTAAACAAAAATAAAAAAAAATTAGTTTTGATTATGTAATTTTTTTACTATAAATAAACATTATCTTAATGTCATAAAAGTATACTTTTTTATCATATATAAATTAGTTGAATTATAATAATCCTTTATTCATTTGATTTTGTTATATCTAAACAATCTAGGAATAATCACGTGACTGGGTTGAGTTCAAAGTTAATCGCAACGTTAAAAGCGAAAAGTATAATTAACAATTTTAAATCATTATAAATAAATATTCTGAATTCACCGGATACAGATCCGATTAATAAGTTTCGGGTTCAGGGGTCGGTATCGACCCATGTGTCAATCATATTACAAAATTAACAATTTTTTATACAATTTTATATATTTAGCCACATAAGTTAGCTTTAAGGGCACTGTAATTAAAGGGCTATATAATTTCCATATTTATTTTATTGTTTTAGATATAGCCGAAATGGTTAACTTTCTAAATTCTTTTTCCAATATCGAAAGTTTAAAGCAAGTTTTATAAATTTTTTTAAAATTTTTATAACTTTATAATATATAGATATTTTTTTGTTTGATGCAAAACTGTTCCTATGTTATGCCCGATGATGCCATGTTAGAAAAGGTGTTTTCTATCTTGTTGACTAAGATTAAAACGTTAAAAGGCAATAGTGAAAAAAGTGAAGAATTCGAGAGTTTTAACCAAGATGTCTCTCGATATTTCGGTTTATATCTTATAATGAAACGCGTTTTAAATGAGAAATCAGTTATCATTAGCAGCATATCATCGCCCAAAATTAAATTCGACCGAATGGCAATGAAAGTACTTTTAATTTTTTAAAATATTATAATCATAAAAAATACACATCTTATATTAGCCTTTTATTTTTATAAATCTTTTCCCCTCTTTAGTATTTTAAATTTTTTAGCTACTTGATTAATTACCGTTATAAAGCGGTAACAATATATCGTTATGAACGAATTTTATGATTGAAAGAAAGACCTCAAATAAAATTTATTTTTAGACGCTACTCAAAACTCTTGATCTGACTGATAGGGACGAAATTGTAGACATTGTGTCATTTTTACAAACAATGCACCCTAAGATGATTATTAAACAGAGCCTTAAAAAATTAGACCGAGACTTTACTCGTTCTATAAGGGACTTGAATAACTTATCGCATTACCTTGCGCTATCTCCTACTGCACACTACGATAATTTATCGAACACGCACGTAAACTTGACCGATCCATTTGATTTTGATAACCACGGAAGTGCATTCATATCTTTAACTGAAAATCTAGCTTTAAATATTCTGGGGAAATTTTTTATGACAAATTTCGCTCATGATAAAAAAGATTTTAGCAATCAAACAAATGAGGAAACTCTGAGAAGTTTTTTACTAGGACATAATCTTGACCTCGAAGAATTACCCATATGGAAAAAGGTATTATTTCTTTAGTTTTTAGGATTATGATTTTGTACATTTAAATTTTAATTAACACTAAACTGCAAATGCTTAGGTAAAAATGATTTCTATATACTTTATTAATTGATATGAGATTCTTTTTCTTGTTATAAAAAATAAATTACTACATATATTCAATAATAAAGTGATATAAATTAATAATTATATTTCATTTAAACTGTTACATGATTGCAAATTTTGTAAAATAATATATTATTTATATTTTAATGTTTAAGGCTGTATTTTATATTGTATTGTGACTTGTAATTGGATATGTTATTATGTTTATTTTAAGTTTAAAAGTTAAGTTTTAAAAGTAAATAATATATATAAAAAGGAAATTTTTGAATAGATACAATTATTATGTCACCATCAATTATATATCCAAAACCGATCCCATATATCTCATATTATTATCGACTCAAACCCCAACGTTAGTACAAGCTTCCCCTTTTGCAACATAAACATTTTAAAATCGAAACGATTAAATAAAGTAATATCTACTTATAAAAGTCAATTATAAATTAAGATTATAATAAAACAGATAAATAAATTAATAATGTTCAATGTTATATATCATTATCCGTAAGAAAAGGCTAGAATGAATGTTTTTTTTGTTTTGGTACAATTTAAAAATATGAATTTAATTATATATTTTATTATAATATAATTTTTTTTAAATATAATTATATATTAAGACATATATTAATAGATTAAATGGAATATAATTATTAATTTATATTCCTTTATTATTGAATATAGTCATTTAATTTTTATAACTTGTTTACATCATAAGAAAATGAATCTCATATCAACTAATAGAGTATATAAAAAAACTTTACTTAAGCATTTGTAGTTTACCTAGGCATTTCCAGTTTAGGCAAACCCATAATTAACCTTACGTTGGTATGCTGCACAAAAAATCAGCTCATGTAGTTTTTAAAACCCCAATTTTTTAATTGTTATATATTAGCTAAATATTAATGTTTTATAATTTGGTTTGTATATTGTAAATGTTAAACGATTATCTTAAGCTGTAACCACTATTATCTCACAAATAAATTTGACTTTATGGGAAATTTTCCAGAAATACTCAAACATCATGAAAATGAAAACAACCTTGTTACAAAATAAAATTACCATATTAAATTTTTAAAAATATTATTTGATATTTTTCAAGTAGATATAATGTTGTTTTTAAATCACTCACAAATCATTCCACAAATATGGGAGTTTTTTAAAAATAAATATAAAACAATTAAAATTTAATTAACACAATCTGAATAAATTGTATAAATATGGGTAAATCTACGCATTCGTATAAGATTACAATTTTTGCAATAACTTTAGTTTTATAAAAAGCCATTTGTGGTTTTCATTTTGATCACAGTATAAAAGATGTTTAAAAATTTAGGATAATATTATAAACGTTGATTACATTGTGAAAGTGAAAGTTCAAAAGTATTAAGTATGCACAATCATGTGCTGTGTCTATGTTGCTGATTTTATCAATTATTTGGAAAAGGATTATATTATCAATTGCTCTAGGTTTAAATGTAAACATAACTTTATTTATTATTTTGCTTATTAGGCTGACAAGGTCGGTAGAAAATTTGAGCCAAATTATGTAGCATATGCGCATCGATCTGATTCAACTGGGATTTTTGCATATTTTTTATTACTTTCATTTTTTGACGAATAAGTATAATATGAATTAGATGGCAAACAAAAATATGTAATGTATCATAGCAAAATATAAATAATAAGTAAATCACTAATTTAGGTATTTATTAACAATAATTATGTAATATTAAGCATTATTTATGCATATTAGCATTAACTATAAGTGTATAAAAAAGTCGAAAACGCGAAATCAGCAAAAGGGATTTTCACGGAAGGGGGAGGGACAAATGCATCAATCCATGGTTACGGCTCGTAGACTAGGATATTGGATCTGATATATTTCAAAGAACAGTACATTATAATCATTAACATTAGAATTATTGATGCGTCGATTCACAAGATCAACACCACCTTGGTGACAGAAAGTTATTTATAATAAATATGCTAGTATATGGATTAATGGTTTAAAAATCATGAAATCAAAAATTTTGCTGAAAATTTTTTTTTTAAAGTTGTTACAACCTTTTTTAAAAATTTTATTATCGCAAGATTATTTATTATGCATTTTATCAAATCAAGTCAATTTTTTTATTTTACAAAAATGTTTTATTATTTTGTATCGTGGGGTTGCAGAAACCCAAAGAGTATAGATCTCAGAAGGTAGTGTTTTTTCAAAATTTTGCCAAATAAACTAGTGAATAAAAGGCATTAAAATGATTATTTATACAAAATAATTGGGGTTTTATAAATCCCGTGATACCAATGAGGGATTAAAAGTGTATTTGACTTCATTTTAAAAAATATATAATTCCTAAAATTAAGATGATATTTGATTTTTTTGATAACAGAGAGTCGTAATATTGTATTGGATTTATTGTGTTAATCAACCTATGGACTCAATGGATGTGTTATCATCATGGATTAAAAATTACTTTTCACTTCAAGGTATATTCATTTATGAGTGTATGAAACTAATGCGTACGCAGAGGGGGAGGGGCTGGGGGCATACCCCCCCCCCTAAAAGCCAAAAAAATTTAGATGCCGGATATATTTTTCAAAAATATTATTGTTTATATAAATTTATATTTTATAATATTTATTCCTATCTCTTTCTTTTTGAATATATATTTAATTAATCACATTTCGATTTCAAATTTTCCTTGGCATAATATTTATCTATTGTTTTCAAATTTCGGGTAATATTTATTTATCATTTTCAAATTTCTAGTCAAATAATAATTATGGACATAAGAATTTTTTTAAACATATTGATGATGATGAAAATCCTAGTCATCTTACAAAAAAGCAAAAAAGTACAAATGATTTTATAACATTTTATAATTAGTTTAGAAGAAAGGCATATCCTTCTAAAAAAGATATTAGATACCTATGATAAATATTTTATTTAATAATAGATTTATATTCCATCCCTTAATTTTCAATATACACAAACTTTATGAGTCGAAAGGTAAAATTTCAAAACAGATATTTTACTAGATGGTTATAGCTAACATACTTATCCGAGACATTGGAGCTTATTGCAAGATATGTATCTTGTTTGGCCCAAGATATGTGATAGAAGAATTTAGTTAGGCTTAACTGACTTGTTAAGACTCCATTCAACAAATACAAAGATGCTGGAGAAATCTTTGACAATCATCAAAAAACAAATTATCACGAAAGCTGTGAACTGATGATTTCTTGAAATTAATTCAAAGTGGGGATATGATTCCCATTTCATCGCATATTGACAAAAATAGAATTAAAATAGCAAAAGAGAATAAATGTAAGATCAAACTAACTGTAGAGGCCATTCTATATTGTGGATTGCAGGGCCTAGCATTACGTGGCCAATTGGATCCAGGAAGTTTGAATAATAATGATATTAAAGGTAATTTTCGTGGTCTTGTAAAATTTAAAGCTTTAGGGGATTCTGCATTAATGGAATACGCCAAACGACAAAATATTTTAAACAGAATTATTTCTGATTCTTGTCCAACAAGTAGAAAGAAATTGCAAAAAGCTTGTCCAACGATATGGAGTCTTCGCCATCAAACAATAACAGCTTTTATGGAGTTAGAAGAGCCGATCATTAATGCTCTTTCTGAAATATCACAATGGCCTGAAAGAGTCTTATTAGCTGATTGCCAACTATTGTATAAAAGATTAACTATGGTTGATATAGTCCCAAAAATGCTATGGATGCTTTGCATCATTTCAATATCTTTTGGATTATTTTCCCAATGTATTAAAATTATTATATATATTAGCAACTCTTCCCATTAGTACGCAACTGATGAGAGAACATTTTCTTCTTTAAGAAGAATAAAAACATACCTAAAAAGTACAACTTTTGAAAGTAGATTGAATGGTTTGGCCTTTTTGAATATTCATAGGCATTTGACGCCAATTGATGAGAAAATTGAAAAATTAGCTTAATCCCAACGAAGATTGGATTATACATTATAAATATAATAGGCTTCTTAATAATATTATTTGTGCACATTTATTTTTTAATGTATTATATATTATTTTTCATGAATACTTTATAAGTTATTACATATAAAATACAATTATTCCCAAGAAACTTGTGTATTAATTTATATTTCCATTAAATTTTTTATACTTGGTTTATATATTTAATATTTTATAATTCACATTAATTTAAAATTGTATATTAGAAATAGTTATTAGTCCTAATAAATTTAAGCTTAATATTTTTAAATAACAATAATTTTATCTTAAAAATATTATTTAATTATTCCCCCCCCCACAGCAATTTCCTACGTACGCGCTTACCATTAGGTAGTTGGTGATAAATAGTATGAATGTTCCCTATCCCCCATCAGACAATTGTGCAGAGACCCTGATAGAAAAGGAGAAGGGGGTACCCTATCATGCAAATGCCCCCCCCCACCCTAAATAGCCAAATGTTAAATATTTTGTACAGCTTGAGCATCTATAAAAAATACATAAAAGCATTATCACTATCATACAATATATCATCAACATTGATAATTTATTCTTTTGTCCATTAAAATAACTGAGGAAATGATTGCAATTCCATCATAAAAATAAATAAACTTTATAATCATTTAAAATATTATTCTTTAATTTAAAAATAAGTTCAGGCATCATGAATGAAATATTCATATTTTTTTAGTTTAAGGTTTGGGAATATTTAGACCTGAGCGCCGATCAAATATGTCCCGCCAAAAAAATGTCGACGCTCACGCCGCCGTCGATGTAAAAATTTGACGGCATGCGGCGTGGTACATATTTTTATTATTAAAAATAATATTTATTTTTTATATTATTTATGAATTATAATTAAAAAATAATATTAAATATATTTTAAATTATTAATAAATGTGATTTTATTTTTTAAATCAATAAATATTATTTGCTATAAAAACATTTGATTTATAACAAGATGATATGTTATTATTAGGCTAATAATTTACAGAAAGGTATTAAAATAATATTAAAAATTTTATTATTTTAATTGATCGTATCTCTTCATTATTCCTCAAAAGATTTATTTAAGATAAGTTTTAAAAAGGTTATTATAGTCTATGTTCTGTATAAAGTTATAAGTTATATTGGAGAAATAGGAAATGTTTTGAATCTATATCATTTTATATAAGATATTTTAGATTTAGGTGATAATGATATTTTAGATAGTTTTGGGTTTGATAATGATAGTGCAAATCAAAAATCATATGAGAAAAAATATAAAATCTTGAAATTTAATGTGCCTACACTATAGTATTTTAATAATACTGTGGCAATAAGAAAAATTCTATAAATATTCTATTAAATAGAATGGAGAAACCGGATCTCAAATTATTTAACTAACATTAGGACTTGTAATATAAATTTTCATTATTATTTCATACTGAAATTATAAATCAATTGTATAAGAATATGAGTCCGCCCATAGAATCCCTTAAACAAATTTACTTACTAAATTTGATCATAGATTTCCATTAACCGATCTTCAGGTAGTATTATAAAATACAAAAATTTGTTTTTTTAATATTATTTCTCTTTGTTTTATTTCTTTAATTAGGTATTAGGAGCACTTTTGGATTCTCTCTTTCAATCTATAAACACAGTAAATGAATATTTAAAGGGAAAGAAATATTACTCTGGTGTAATATTTATGTCAACACGCTACCTCTCTGTTACCTTACACGGACGAATTAACCAAATGTGAAACCACAGAAGTTGCTTCAGATTTCGATTATCTTAAGACATTAGCTAACAAACATTCATCAATTCATAATCTGGAACAACAAGAAAAGGATGTCTTAGATTTTTAAATGAACAAAGCATTAGATTTTTCTAAACTTTCAATATTGGATAGAAAGGTCCTATGTGTTCCAGCTACTTGCACACCCAACGAGCGTGTATTTTTCATAGCTGGGTTCACTCTGAACTTCAAAGGATCATCATTATGTCTTATAAATTTAAATAAAAAATATTTATACATGATAATTATAACTTAATAAAATCATTAAATTATAGTTATAAACATAATAAAGCATAATTTTATTTTAAAAGTGCTTCCAATTAATTTTAATTTAAAAAAATTTAAGTTAGAAAAATATTTGACGCCCCCGCCGATTTTTGTGGTGGCGTCTAAGATTTATCACCGATAGCCGATCGTTAAAAAACAAACGCCGCCGCCGATAAGGCTGTCGGCGCACAGGTCATATTTTAATTCAAAAAATTATCTATTTTTTATATGAAATGAAATCGTTATTTTTGACTTGAGTCATTTATATTTATTCTAATTAAACATATTCCTTTTTTATAATAGTTTAGATAATGCATACCTATTGTCATCAAAGTTGTACAATTATTCAATATATATTATATATAATAGTTTGGAGAAAATATTCTGCTATTTTTTTTATACATATGCTTTAATTTTAACAATGTCAGATCAGACCACTTATTTTTCATTTTTACTATTTACCATAAATTTATATATTCATATTGAGGCTTTATTATGTTCACTATATCTATCCGTTACTGATAATAAGCAAATTATCATTGATTCAAGCTTTTTTTTATTCATATAATTTAAACGGCCATATAGAATTAAGATCAAGCCAAGATATGCTCTTCTAAATCATCCTTAATGAATGTTTTGTGGATGTTTTACAGAGTTTAAAATCCGAACCCTTTTTTTATAAAAATATTCAGAAACGGAGCTCTTTCAAACTCTGGGTTTAACAAAAGTAAATAAATAAGGGTACGCTCTTTACAATGTCTGTCCATTCAATGTCATAATATCTAATTTTTAAAGCTCCTTTACTTTAATTATTAATCTGTTGAATTTATTTGTGGCACTTTATAGTTTTATGATTCTATATTTAACACAATGAAATATTTTGCCCCCTTTTTTAACCTGCATTATACAGCTGTCAAATTAATTTGATGAAATTTCGTTATTATACCTTGATTTTTACCAAAATTAACACTTGGCATTATCTGCACAATACAACAATAAGCCACAATATTCATATGACTATGTTTAACTTTGGTCAAAAATTTGATTAGAATATTTTCAATATGTTTTGAAGCTTCATAATCAATGTTAATTCTTTTGCTTTTATAAAATAGTGCAAAACGAAATAACAGAAATTAGTTTAAATATAAACGATATTTGCAACTTTCTTATTTTTTATAATGTATAAAAATAAAATTTAAAACATTTTATAATTTATAATTTTTTTTGCAGGGTTAAGGATTTTAATCATTTGGCAAGATATTGTTTAGAAATTAAGTCACGTTTATTTCCCGTGGTACAAATATTCCCGGTGAAACCTAAAGAGGACTAGTGGTGTATTGCGAGTTGACTACGGAGGCTAAGCCATTTGCTATTTTTAGCCCCCTTTCCAAATTTTGAAGAGAAACTGAGCCCCTTGTTTAAAAATTATTCATATTTTTTCAAAAGTGTTAAATTTAAATTCCATATTATTTTTTATTTAATATTCACCCAATTTTTAACATCAAATTTTTTTATAACCCTCGGAATTTTTACAAGTTTTTCTGATTTATTTAAAATATAGAATGAGATTCAATACCATCAAGTGGTGATCGATCACTCCATTTTTAGTGGGTTTTAGAGCCGATTCTAAAAAGGCTAAAACGAATTTTTAAGCGAAAACTATCATCTTAGCCTCAATTGAGATTTAAACGTAAAAGATTTTGCCTCAAGGTTTAGTTAGTTTTTTTTGTCTGTTAGGATTGAGCCTATTTAATAAACTGGCAGGAAATAATCCAGTTTTAACAAAATCTTTAAAATTTTTAAATAGTAATTTGAAATTTTTAAATAGGTAGGTTGTTGGTTGTTAGGATTCATCAATCTACTTTGAAATTAATAATAATTTGGAATATTTTTTTTCCAGGTTCTTCTATGTTCTTTTGCCAATGAATGAACCATTTTTTTATTGATAAACTGATATTTAAGAAAAATTGAATCATGAACTTGACAGGTAATACTTTAATATCTTGTAGGTTAATATTTAGAGGTGTCTCTCGATTCAGAAATTAAGCTTTTATTTGAAAATATATCATTGAAAAAATCTAATTAGAAAGTTTCCTAAGAATTAAATGCGCGATTTGTTGAGAAGCAAATAAAAAACAATCTGCTAAAGATTCAAATAAAACGAATATGAAACGATTGCTGGTCTTTGATAATATATTGATGAAGATATTCCTAATGAAAAATTTATTCTGTGTTGATAATTTATCATGCTGTACTACCGAGTATGAAAGAAGCTTTTATCGTATGAATTCGTTCATGGTAGATAATCGTGCAAATTAAGGAGTTAATAATTTGAGAAATTTAACATTCATAACATAAGTATTAATGAACCTTCGATACCGAAGTGGATTCCAGATCCATAGACCAAAATATGGAAAGGAATCATATAGCGGGGCTAATGAAATCTTTTCAAAAAGAATACATACCAAAGGAACAGATATGAAAGATTTATGGATTTTTTTACAATTAATATTAATATATATTTTAATTTGTATAGATATAGGTGGTATTAAGACTATATTTAAAAATATAAATAAAGAATTTATCATATTAGTAATAAAAGATCCAATTTTATATATCTCATATTTTTTGATAATATTTTTAAAAAAAATGTAACCCCTTGAAATTTTTTTAAGCAATAGATTACTGAGCGGGACATATTGCAGATCTAACCTTAGCCTATGACTCTTCTCGGTTTTTAACAGCTATAGCTTCATACATGTATTTAATATATGATCGGCTGAGTTTTATAGTGTTCTATATTAATTTTTTAAATTTTTTTAGGAGAATCAAATAAAAAATTATATTTAATATTTTTATTGTTGATATGGTGGGAATATTATGGTACTGAAGAATTGATTTATCAAAAAGCTCATTTTCCAAAGTTACATATAGAGCACTATTACTCAGCCGACGATTTGTTTTAATCTATTTATCTGCGAAGAATTTTGCTCAGATATTCGCTTATCTGACATGAATTTGCTTGTCGGCATCACATTATCATAACTATTAATAAGGGAAATTGAAAATAATATAACAGGGGGGAATATAATAACCTTTTAATTCATTAAATTTTATTATTTTCATAAATAAAAGATGGTAATGATACTATAGAATCATAAGCATAAGACCCCACCCCCATACGATTCCAATAAAGTTATTGCATCATACTCCCCCTTCAATTAAGAGGGTACTGAATAGTATCCAAAGATTATTTTATGTCCGAGTTCTTCAGCGCATTTATACTATTTTCACTATATTGTTTCTGCTCAGAATAAATTTAAAGGCTTCTTCCGCGAAATTCAAATTTTTTTCTATAAGACAAGATGCACTTTTACTATATTATTTTATTAAATGAAAAGAATATCAGAAATTTTATTATAATATTTTTATTTTATTTTAGAAATAACTGAAATCGAATATAAATATTTATTCAGTCAATTGCGAAAAACCTCTCTCTTGATGAACGGATTCATATTTGCTATTTTGTTAATCGAGGATTTTGACAAATACAATTCTAAGATTAATGTCAACGAAGTTTATAAAAAAGCAATTTATTTTTTAATTACATTTTCGCTCTTATAAATATATTTTTGCATATATGATTACGATAGCAGTAAGATACTAGCTCTTGTCCATAACTTTAAAAATAACATTTAGATATGCATTTGCTCTTCTCTAAAACACGTCATTGATGATATTATTTATAATATATTATTTATGTTGTTATTGTTAAACGGCTCTATTCAGTCGATTTTAAATTAAGATTTTAGCCAAAATAATATTACTCAAGCCTTGAGATTTCGTTAATAGATGTTCAATACCTTTCTGCCAAAATGTCCAGACTAGCGTAATATTTTTTGGCTAATATATTGGGAGCCATTTAACAACTATACAATACAATTATAATAATTAAATATTATAATGAATTTTTTTAGGTCAAACGTTTAGTAGAAAAATATTTATTGTTAATATATTTACAATACCTACAAATCTATATCTTCACCAACAACAAAGGCGACGATCAAAGTAACAAAATCGAAGAAATCGATTCCAAATTAACTATAAAAAATTTAGGTAAAGAAAAATATTGTTTTTTTAAAAAAAATATTTGCTTGCCAATCACTTTTTAGCTTTTATTGTGGGTTATTCCAGATATCTTATAATTTATACATTACTTTTTAGTTTTTTTAACGTTTTAAATTTCTGGTCCATTGAAAATAATTTATATTTGTAAAATTAAAATCTATCCTTGAATTTAGTTTTAATTTTTTTAGAAAGTTGCAGAAACTCTTTAGCGTTTGTTGTGACCAAACTGTCGCGATGGCTAGCAATTTATCATATACACCCCTCAAAACTCGTTAACCTATCTTTAGGGTTACCCTTTGATTTTGGCTCAGCGAACCGTTTATTTTTGCCGCTCAAAACTTTGTCTGTCAAAAAAGTTAAACGTCCGGATCCAGTTCTTGTCTATTCCAATCTATTGGTTTATGCTTGTAAATCGACGTTACCATTCTACAGCCATAAAGACAACGAATTCCTAGCTTGTATAATAAGGGAAATTATGTTATATTATATTGGCAGAAATTATTTTTTGATGTGGTTAAATGACGGAGAATCGGAAAACTTGCCCATTCCACTAAACCTGTCCTTCGATTTTGATGAGAAGCACGATACTAAACTTTCTTATTTAATAAGATGTTTGGTATGCCACATGTCCATAGTTGAATATCCAATTCTGTGCATAAGTAAATTTAATCTCATTTTTTATATATGAAAGTGTAATATGGTTAAACTATACTAGACCATGCTTCTCTGATTGGCCAATTTTTGTTACCAAATTGAAAATCATTTTTATTAAAGGCTATGTTCTATTTTTTTTAAAAAAGAGCTAATTTTTATAAAAATAAATGTTTAAAACGTTTTCTATCGAAAAATAAAAACATGTCCAAAACATTTTTTTCAAAGATTATCTGAAAGCTTACAATATCTCACATAAAATTTGTAAATATTTTTTTTTAAAGTTTTGGACGCAACCTACATATAATATTGAACCCGGTTGATTAAAAAAGTAAGCTTTATTCAATAAAGTATATAGAAAAGTGTGTAAATTTTAAAAAAACATTAATTTCGTCAAATCCTATAAGTTAGATAAAAGGCAATCCGAATAGGCAATTTAATTATAAGCTAATATTGCATCTATGCAGTGTTAAAAGTTTAAAAAGCGTTCAAAGGGGTTTACTTAAAATGATTATAGCAGATGATAAATATAAATTGGGGTAGGCCTAGGCATGATTAAGCCAAATCGATTTAATTGATGATTTATTTTGATAAAAATCAAGATTATGATTTAAATAAATTCGCTTTTTGATTTTGTATTAATTATTATTTTTTGTTTTCAAATAAAACGCATTTTACCAGATTTATAATTTTCTATTAAATTGAGGATCGTGATCAAGATTATTTTCTTAAATATTAGATCCTTCAATCCTTTTAAAATTTATTTTTTACTTAAAAAGTTTATATTTTTTCATAAATTTTATTGTAAATACATTTACGAAATTACAACCTACACGTTTTATTTATTGAATTAAAAATAAAATATTTTAGGTATTTAATGTCTATTATAGATATAGAAGAAAATGCACATACAGTTATTGAAGTGATAGGTATAAATAAGAACCTTTTCCCCTGGCTCCGTACCGTATAATGTTAATTTCTTAAGATAGAGATTTCTCTCACTGTGTAAGGACAATAGCATATTTCAATAATTCACCCAAAATTTAAGCTTAATTGGCCGTATATCAATCTGCCGCAAAATCTGTTGGTAAAAAGTCAAGTATCCATTTGGAAAATCTGCAGGATTAACCACATGCAGATGCTTATTCAAATGATTGTATAGATAAAACAGATACTTTCTTTCTTCGCAAAATGCGCTTTCTTTTAATAATTTTACTTTTATTCAAATGATGATTCAATTAATATTTATACTGATATAAAAAAAATATATAACACCTTTACAATCAAGCGCACCTGTGGAAGGCTAAGTATGTTCTTAATGAAAAACATAGATATTTGAATGATAATGATTTCGAATTTTTCTTATTACTTAAAGGCTAATTTTGATTATAAATAAATATATTTACACTATATTAAATTTATTTTTATATTAGTTAATTTTGCATAGAGCATAAATTTTCTTCAGAAATTTATAAAATAAGAAAAGGATCGTGATAGCGATCCTTTTTTTAAAAAAAGGTCGATCCTGGATTTCAATCCCCTTTTTTAAAAAAGATTTTGATCGGGATCGATTAACAAGATTGCTCATTTTTTTATATTTTGTATATAAGTTATAACTAATTGCTAAATTTTTATGTTATAAATGGGTTTTTAGGTTAGGTAATCAACTACAATAAAATATAAATTAGGTAATAAATACAAAAATATAAATAATTGATAAATGCTCAAAATATCCAATATTTCGCTTGAGAGATTTCTTCCCACCCTCCCTTCTTTTTCTCTTCTTACCAATTTACGCAAACTTAGACAAACATTGAATGAACATTTTTTTAAAGTTGTCTTTATCAGATCGCCCTTTTCAAATGTATTTTTATGAATTACATGCATAATTCAAGAATATTTTTTTAGGTTAATATAGCTGGGTCATGGTTTTGTACAGATAAATTTCTAAAACTTAGTTTTGGAATCAAGCGAGTTCGACATTTACTGTAAATAATAAAAATAGATATCAATTTAGTGGCAAAAATTAAACCAATCAAAGGAACTGATGTGGTTTATTGATTTTACGACTAATGACCATATTTTATAATCAGAATACACACCTATCAACCACACGCCAAAAACTGAATATAAATAATGTTGAAAAATATTTTAAAAAAAAATATTAAAACAGATATATTAACAGAATTATGGAAATCTCATTTGTCTCGATTACATTTTACATTTATCACATCTCTTGACAATGTTAATATATTAGACGACAAATTTTGTCTTAATTCTGTCGGGTTTAATAGGAAAGAATCGTCTACTATCTTTGGAATAATAGGAATAATGTTACATACCATATGCCAAGTTGTGTCATTTTCATTATTTATTTTGATAAATTTATTTATACTCAAAATTTTCTGTCATTTTTTTTAATCATTTATATTTAAAAAATGATGTTTATGAATTACTCATTATATTATTTTTGAAAAAAATATTTATTCATTGACTGACAGTCATGTGAAGACCATATAGAAATTAATGATAAACAAGTAGAAACGGTATCAATATTAACTGCCATTGGTCTTAAAATCGAAATGGATATCGATTCTGTACGAATCAAGTTTTACAGGAATCTAAGTTTCGTTATACAAGCCTTGTCTTATTTTGATATGGAGCTTATTCAACCAAAATATTTATTTCCTTCTAAAGTAATGCGTGTTTTATATTTATAGTATCCAGGGGTCTGATTTTCTAGCCCTGCCCTAATTAAAAAAGGATTTTGATTCAATCCAAAGTTAATAGGCAAATTATTTATTTTCCCGGGTTCTAATTTATTTGAAGATAAATAATTAAAATTAATTGGGAATATATATATGTTCAAGATAATTTAAAATTAGTCACCATATTTCAGAATCATCCGTTATTCTTTCTTTCTTTCTTTATGGAGTTCTTTACATGTCATTATCACAAAAATTTTTCTCGAATGTCGATTAATACGAAAAAAAATTTTCCGTGAATAAATTATTTTAAATTATGACATTATTTTGTTTATAATTTTTATTTGAAACTAAATTATTTTAAGATGTATCAACTTTTAAACATGAAAAAGATCGATTTTTCTGACGGGAAGAAAACAATATATACAGATGATCTGCCTTTGACTCAAGATAACGATGATTTAGCATCTAACATTAATAAAGTAGTATACATTCAAAACTGCATTATTTTATATACTATTTTTAGTTAGCAAAAAATAATTACTTAGTTCTAGTAATATATTATATAAATAACAGCAGAATCAAGATAAAAAATACCCCCCTCCCTCCGAAAAGATCTTTATTAAATTTAAAAGATTATATTTATGCCTTAAATTCCGAAAAATCTTTTACATGGTAAAGATTTAGCTAGAATAATTATAACAAATATATTTTTATGATTAAAATATTAACTTTTCAATTTTTTCTCTCTTATTATGCAAGCAGTTCATAAGACAGTTCATAAAACATTTGATACCACTAATAAAACCACCTTCCTCTACTCACAATGAGGAATACGATTACTTAACTAGAAGTACATCATTGGTTGAATTATTCCTGAAAGATTTCGAATGGTCTTTCCATCACTGGCTCCTAGTCTTTAACAATGTATGGTGCCAAGATTGGTCTCCCTTCATAAATTCCCAGAAAATGATCCTTTATTTGGTGTCCTATGTTTACGCTAAAAACCAGGATTTTGTAATAGATCAAGTATTAAATATATATTTATTAAAATGGTTTTTATTTTTTATATGAAGTTGATCTCTAAAGTAATCACAATAAAGCTATAAAGTAATTGTAATATTATGTCACTAAACTGATTATTCATTTTTCCAGACTATTTAAAACTAATTAAAAAACTTGCTTCTATATTTTAATTCTGACCATCTCATTTGCTTTAATAGGATGACCATTAATCGGTACACTGTGCAGCGTGTCTCCAGTTGGTTATTATTCTCTTAATTAATCTTTAATAATCCAATGGTTATTACCTATTTCATAGTTCATTAGCGAAATATTTATTTGGTAACATTGCTAGATCTTATTAGACATGCTAAAAAATAAATCCTTCTTTATTTATTCGAACGTTTTCCAACTATGAAATATATATTTTAGGAATACTCAAAATTACTTGGGCGTGATGCTAACATTTTCTCAAGTGTCGCCACTATAAATCAAATTTTTTATGTAATTTTTTTTTTAATTATAAAGATTTTGAAAATATTTTCGGCAAACGATCAACTCATTACGTGTCACATGATGAACATAGTAGGAATTCGCGTAATAAATTATTTAGAAGATATCGATGACGCTACTTATAACGCTTTGACTAATAAATTTAGTTTACAAATTCAAATGTGGCTTGAATCGGTATTGTTTTATTATTATATATTTAATAGAGAATTATGATTGTGAATTTAAAAAAACGAAACTGAAATTTAAGAAATTGTACTAATTTATTAAAAGAATCATGGCAAGAGGCAAACGTCTCTCGAGCCCGATAGTATTTTTGACATTATTTCCGCTTTTTAGTGTTAACCCCACGTTTATTACAAAAAGAAAATGTGTAATATATATACTTTTAAGACGAGGAATATGAATTCAAATAAAAGCTTAATGCTGAATGTAGTTATTTTTATTTTATCACACCATATTAATATAATAATTATTTTAAATTTATTTTTTGAAAGCTTGATCCAACTTACGAAGATATTGAAGATTTTAATCCATCAACATTGCAAGATATAATAGTTATGTTGCGAAAGATAATTGAAATATTACCAGAAGGACATAGCTCTAGTCAAATGGCCTCTAGATTAATTCAAATCTTTTAAATATTTTGTTTTTTTTCATATAAATATTTATGGGACCATATGATATATTTATTTTAAAAAATGTATATATTTTTTTGTTTTAATATACCAAATTCAATAATTCATTTTACTTAAAGAAAGTTATACTTTTATCTAAAGTATATCATTCTACTTGTTTACATTGTCAAGAACGATTTATTTAAAATCTTTCCAATAATTTAAAGTTATAATGTTAGGATATTTTATTTTAATCAATCTATTCTATTCTATATTATTATAATTATCATATCATTAATATATATTTTTTTTAAATAACTGGTATATAATGTTAGTTAATCCATAGCAATTTAATTTAGGTAAATATAATTTTCCGAAAAATATAAATCTATAAAAATTTATTTATAAAAAAAATAAGATGGAAGTTAAAATATAATTTTTTAAGCCAATTTATTTTATACTAAATTAGTTTGATAACAGAAACCTCGAATAACCATAGAATAAGAACACAACCTAGTTCCTGAAAAAATATCTGACCGAAAGTTACATGTCATTTTTAAACATTAATAGTAATTTCAAAAACTATCTTTTATAATTTGTGCCTATGTTTAAGATAGAAAACATCTCTTTGTTTTTGACTGACTATAAAAAAAATATTTGTATCAGGAATAAAATTCAGTGTCCCTTTTACATCATTCGAAGAAGAAGTAATTCTTGAAATCTTTAACGAATTAAATTCAATTTTAAAAAAGAGAAAAATCTACCGATTTTTCATTTCAAATTGTAAAAAATGATTAAGTATTTTTTTAAAACTCATATAGATAAGCTATAACCTATAATGAGACGAGCTAACAATAAAAGAAAAAGGTTTTATTTTTAATTTATCCTTCGATTCATTTACCTAGATATAAAGTAATTTTTACATATTCTCTTTATTTTGCAATTTACTCCCATTCTTTACATATCTTATGTTACCCTTTTCATTTACCCAGACCAAAACTATAAACCCAATTCATTTCCTTTGAAAGCGAACAAAATTAAAATGTTGACAAAATATATTAAAGGGTCTCACATGAGAGTTATAGGGTGAATGTAATTAGATAAACCGTACATGACTAATTTAATTATAGATGTGATTAATATTTTAATTTCTGATTTTGCGAATAATTTGATTGTTCTCTTTGAATAACGACACTTCTCGGTTCTGATTTTTCCTAAACATCGAAAACATAATACAAATCAGGAATTTTTATAGAAAATAAATAAAATACAACAACAAATAAATATGTAAAAAAAATACCAGTCAAATGTGGAAAAAAGATTAAATATAAGATCCTCCAAATCAAATCCAATATGAGATCATCTTATGAGAATTGGTTATATCCATTATTTTTTTTTAAATTCTCAGAATTGTCAAAAAAAAAATTGTCACCTAAATTCATTCTTTTCTATTCATTTCCCTTTAAGCATCTGGTTCTAGTCTCAATCATCAAATCTCGCTATTTCACCAATATCCTCCCTCAATTTCTATCTAACATCAGAGTCCTCTAGTTCTGCCTCCCCCATTTTAGTCTTGTCTTGTAAGATCGGGCCAGCGGTAGCATCATCAATAAAATATAGGCTCGACCCATGGTCGGTAAAATATTATTGTTATATCCATTTTTGTGATTGATTATCAGAAATATTAAATTAATTTTCAAAATAAGAAAAGCCTATGGTGGTATGAAATATTTACTATTTATTTTCACATCATATTTTGTAATAAATATAATAAACATTAAATTATCAGTGAATGCTGAATATTTAAATTTATTGCATAACTTTAATATAGATAATGAATTAATTATTTTTAGTTTGAGATTTTATCCCTATAAGTTTTTTGAAATTTAAAGTGGGGATAGCAACGGGATTAAAACTTTTTTATATTGCCAGATTCTAAAAAAAAATTATTCTGGAATATTGAAATATTTTTTGATGTTTTATTCTATTAACTATTTATTTAATATAATTACTTTCAAACTAAGGAATCATTATTTTAAAATTAACAGATGGTGAGGATTTTATTTTAACGATTATTTCATATCTCATCTATTTTAATCCAAATAATTGACAAAGAAAAGAATTATTTATTTTTCAGACCAAATATATTTAAAAAAATTCTCGAATCTCTAAATGTTTACAATTTTAATAAGCTGATAAATGTTATTTTATGAAAAATAAACATATTGTTTTAAGATCTTATAGAAACCATCATTTATTTGATATTTTATGTGCTTCATAATGAAGTACTAGATATGATATATATATGATAATAGAGTATATACATTTATTTAAAAAAAATCAAACAAACTAGAATAAACTTCATAATCTTAGAAACGTCTTTAAAATTTTTAGATTTATTCTTCCGGAAGATAATTTAAGTTTTTTAAAGCAATTTTTGATAGTTCGTAAAAACAAACAACAAATATGGGAATGAAAATATGTAATCAAAATAATTATTTTTTTCTTTTTTTTAAATATTTTTTTCTTCATAAATAATAATTATCCTCCAGGTAATTTTATGATAATAAAGTAAATGCGAAAATTTATTTTGGAGAATTTCAAAAAATAACAATTTAATAGTATCATATTCAATGTTTAGATTTTCTTCTTCTATTAAGGTAATAAATATTAGATTGAAATTCAATTTAATTAAATAAAAATATATTTAACAATTTTGATTTTTGACGGAAAATATTATATTTCATTTTTATAAGCACCTTTTAGATTCTAGTTTTTATATTGATAAAAGTATTGAAAAATATAAATTTAAAAAAAATACTGTATAAGTTTTAATAAATATAAATGAAGAATAAATAGTATAAGAGCAATGTAGCGCGATTTAAAAACTGATCGAAACCTGATCAGTGATATGATTTTTTTCTATTAAAAATATGCATAATCATTAAAACCAGGTTTTGTAAAATGAAATTAAACTTGGACCAGGTTTTCAATTTATTATATTTTTTCCGATTCAGATTTTTTAAAAAAAATACTATTTTAATTTTACCGCTCGTTCTATATCGGGTATATTTTAGGCTAGGTCCGCATATAATTAATCTTTACTATTTTAAAATGGGTGGGGTCGGATGGGGGGGGCTTATTTAACAAAAATTACCAGGCCCTATTAAGTGAGTCAATTCTATTACCCCAATTTTAGTTTAGATGAATTAGACCAATTTGAAAATTAAAAACCGAACTATGGTTGAAGTCGTTCGGACAAAAAATTATTTTCTCGCATTCGGTGGACATTTATTTTAATTATGCCCAGACCGGATCTCGACACAATTTTAAATTATTTTATGTTGATATTGTTTTTATAAATATTCTTTTTCAAAAATATGACAGAAATATTACATTTTACTTCCAAGCTTATATTTATTTAGTTGAAATATCGTACTTTTCAACCATTCAGCATTTTTTTAAAAAATCGGATCGGATGGACCTATTTCTAAAATAAAATTCCTGATCGTACTCGGATCTTTTAAAAATAATTCTAGGATTGGATAGGACAAACTGATTTTATCTAAACTAGATATGGGATATTAAAAAAAAATTCTTTCAAAAAACAATATAAAATTTTATTTATTTATACCTCGTCTTAACTTCACAGTTAAAAATTTTGCCAATTAATTAATTAGTTTAACCAAACATTATAAACAAAACTCGTCTTTTGATATGATAAATTGATCCCTGTTTTAAAGGAAATATTTATTTTTCGAATAGTCTAATTTACCTACTATTTGAATATCAAGAAGTAATGAAAATTTGGAGAGAAGACATAAGATTTATTCACTAAAATTAATTGGTTGGTTGTGTAAAACCCAGACCCGGGGTTTGGGTATAAAAATCGACTAAACCAGCTCTGATCACGAACCCAGAGCACAGACCCGGGGTTTAGATCTAGAGTTCAGATAAACGAAAACCAAGAAAAAATAAATCTCATTTACTAATCTTAAATCTTATTATACATTCTAATTATAAATTAAAGCTTTGTTTATTATTTTATTCTACATTAATCTCATTTTCTAACCATTTAAATATTTGTTTAAAGGGGTGCTTTTGATTGGAGTTATTGACTTAGCCATTTTTTCTCTTCCAGACTACGTTAAATTTATATAATTATTAGTTTTTTTTTGGATTAATAGGATATCTACTACATACAAAATTTCTTAGTTATAATATCGACAATTATCTTTTGAACACATTATTTTTTAACTTTGCCATAATAATCCTCAACAATCATCATGTTTTTTTAATATTTTTGAAGTTGATTATTAATTATTATTTTTTAGTTATTTATATATATAGTGCTATAAACATTTCTAAAAAATCAAAAGCGTTCGCTTTCAACGTTCATAGACAAAAATCGAACGTATTCACGTTCGCATTCACTTTCAAATATACTAAAAACGTGCTCCAGGGGCAGATGAGGAGATTACAGTATAATACTTAATAAACAACTCTTTTAACATAGGGAATTTATTAAAAACATTTATTGTTTTGTCCTTGCTTCAAAAAATTGAGATAAGTTATCCTCCAATCCATCTTTTCCTTACTCGTCAAAAAAGTATATCTCGAAATTAACAGTTCGTGCATTCTCATTTCTATGGTTTTCAATGCATTTTTTCACCAATATCGCTAAAAGTTTATTTTTTATAGGTTCGTTCTGAGGAAGTTTTATCTATAGCCATTGAAGCTTAAATATTAAATGTATAATTGCAAAAAAACATATTGATCTTCATATATATGCTCAAATCTTTAAAAAAAATAAAATTTATCTAATTAATTTGATAGTAATAGGTTTAATATTTATATTAATCCCATTTAATAATGCGTCTATCAATAGTTGACCATAATTTAGACCACAAATTTTTTTTAATTTTAAAATAACTATCGTTATTGTTGGGGTCAAATAACCTAAATACATTTTTATTTCAAATTTAATGATTTACTTATATTATATAAAATAAAATAATTAATATTACAATAAATATCGTTTTAAATTGGAACTTGAAGATTTTGAAAGTATATAATACTTTTTGGGCACATTTTACATTTGGTTAGTATTGAATTAGTTGCTTCAATATAGGATGTTACTGTAAAATATTTATCATATTTGGGCCATGGTAATGATAATTCATTTGATTTTGAATTTTCAGAATCAGATAATGATGATGAAATTATAATTCCATGCGCAAATCTATTAAATTTAAAATAAACAATAATATTCAAATTAATTAACTATAATAATGGTGTGTTAAAAAAAATTGAAATGTGAAAAGGAAAAACAGTTGATTATAAAATATAAGACATTTTTCTTAAAAATTTGGATTAATATTAAATTTTTCAAATAAATAAAAATAAAAGGTGTTTTTAAAATTGAACGAACGTTAAATTCGAACGCGTTCGTCATAAAAAAGGAACGCGTTCACGCTCAAAGTTTGTCAAAAATAAAAGGAACGCCGTTCACCATTTTTTTCAAAAAAGAACTTCGCTCACGAACGCTTCAAAAACTATTAATATAGAAATTTTTTTTTAAAAAATAAATATTTATTAAATTAAACTTTCTCTATAATTTTTAAAATGAATTATTAAAAATAAAATTTCCGTTTTTTTTATATTTTTTAAGTTTATTAATTATTATTTTTCAGTGTAGTGATGATTTAATGAAACATATTGAATATTAAATTAAAAATAAAACCCATTCAGATAAAAATATTATGTTTACAAAAATAATTAAAATAACAAATTTACCTTTAAATACTTAAAAGAAAATGTTGAGAATAACATTATTATTTTTTTAAAAAATTTAACTTAAATTAATACTTCTTATAATTATTTTTTAATTTTATGACAATTTTAATTTTAAACTTATTCTAGCAAAATACACTTTTAGTCGGCTAAAAAATCGGCTAGTCCAAGTTTTTAAATCAAAAACTATCACTCTAGCTTTTCGGGGTTATTCTTAAAAAGATAGAGACTCAAATTTGGGAGAAATTAATATAAATTAAAACGCCTTATTGTTAACGGAATTTCTTCGGCAAGCTTCTGAAGAGTTGAGTTAGCCTGTATTTCATTACCCAATTATAGCAATAACAATAACTATATAAAAAGTGTAAAATGAAGATTTTATATATTTAGACTTCAGAATAGGCAGGACAAAAATTCGTTTGTTTATAATCCCCCCCTCACTCCCATAAATAAAAACGATTCAAAAGTATTCTAAATATCCCATTCAAGCTCAATCTTGCCGAATTTAAGAACTAGTGTTATCAAATGTACTTGTCTAAGATACAATTCTAAAATTAGAAAAAAATCAATATTTAAAAATAGGTATGAAATCAAAAAAAACCGGCCAGAAAGTTCGTATCTAATTCTGAACTAGGAAGGTATAGCTGGAAATAATGGCTCGGCTAACCAACATAATAACTCATTTTAATCCTAATTTTTTGGTATTTCTAAGCCTAGGTGGTTCCGTTTAATTTTTTTAACCCTATACTGAGTTGCCTGCCGGGCTTTACTATCTAACCCCAGAAAATGCCATTGCTTTTACTGTTTCTATACTTTTGGTAAATTATTTTTATTTGAACTATTTGGAATAACATTGTTCATCTGAAACCAGAATTTAAACCATGGGTCTGAACCCCGGGTGTGCTCCGAGTGTGCTCAGAGCAGGCCTGAGCACCAAATTGGGTGGAAATAAAACATACTTTTGGGATACAATACCATCATTGATAAACTTAAATGTATACATTTGAAATAATACAGAACATATGATTCTGAAATTTAATGATCAAAAATTGGTAAAGCTGTTAAAAGTCCCTATTCAAAAAACGGCTCGATTAAGATTTTAGCCAAAATAATATCTTGCAATCCTCGAGATATTTCAAATAATCTTTCTCCCAACTATGAGGAAAATCTCAAGACTTACAAAATATTATTTTGGCTAAAATCTTAATTGGGTCGTTTTGAAAATGGACCCAAATCAGGTTTATTAATAACACTAAAAATTGACTTAATTTAATAAAATTTGAATGGGTACTTTTAATAATAAATTTGCTCTGACTATGGACTGATAGCACATCAGGCCGTACAATTTATCTGCTTTCCAGTTTATAAAAGGATTGGAGTAGTTCTATCATGTCGCATTTTCTTCTTCTTTTTCTCCGTTTAATGGCTATTTCCAGAATTTTAGGTTGGATAGTTTTCCCTCTGATTTTTCTTTTGCATTTTTGACGGTCTTGAGCATCAATATTTGTTCATTTTTCTCATATCCGCCGTATTTATTCACGATCTTGGTCCATCCTCTAAGTCTTGATCCTCCTACTTCCATTAAAGTACATCTCTTTACCCAGTCCGTTTGTCTTACGTTCCACATGCCCAAAACATCTTAGCCTATTTCTTCGTATTACCATTCTAATCATTTCTATACTTAATCTTGCTAGCAATTCCTTGCTAGTTTTTCTATCTCTCAGATATACCTTACATTTCCATCTAATCATACTCATCTCTGTTTTTTCTAATTTGTTTCGTGGGTCGCTCCCATGTTTCGCCGCCATAAACTAAACAACTCCTCACATAGCTTATGTAAACTTTCCTCTTTAACTTCGGGGAGATTTTTTTTATTTGTTAGAATAGACGACATCTTTCTAAACTTCTTCCATGCTTCTCTGATCCTTTAACAGCAAAATCTGCTCCACCATCTCGTTTAAAATATCACCTAACTAACAAAACTTATCCACTTTTTCCAGGGTTAACCCATTGCCAATATCTAAACCACTATTTTCTACTTTATCAGTATTATGTACCCCTTTTATGCATCTTCTACAAATAAAGGTCATTCTTGCTAATATCAGACTTCCTTTTTCCCGTTTATCTATTATGCACCCATTTCTGGCATTTGGTACATTGGATTGAATTTCTAGCAACTCTTTTTCTACATCACAAGGCCAGTTGCCGGATTCCTCCATCTTTAGATTATCCACCAGTCATCACCTTTGTCTTAGCTGCATTCATTTTCAAGCCCTTAGCTTTCATAGCCATCTTCCATCTTCTAATTTTATCCCTCAATTCCTCCTAACTGTTTGCCATTAATACAAGGTCATCTGCATATAATAGCTCCTATGAAAGTCTTCCAAGCATTTCTCTAGCCACCACATCCATTACTAAGATAAATAATAATGAACTCAGCACGGATCCTTGATGAGACCCTACCTTCACTTCAAAACTTTCACTATCTCCATCATCCGTCCGTACAGCTGTTTGTGCTCCAACATATACTGCCATAACCAACCATTCTTCCACATCTGATTTTCAATTTTCTTCGCAAGATACGTCTTTTGTATTTGTCTTACCATAAAAATTGCATCTGTCGTGCCTTTCCACTATGTAAAACTGCATTTCATCAATTTTAGTTTGTTTCCTTATCCGCTTCTCTAACACTCTCTTAAATACTTTCATTGCATGTTCCAAGAGTTTAATAGCTCTGTAAAACCCGCAATATAAAAGATCATTTTTCCCTTGTATACTCGCATGCTATGTTGATTTTCCACTTAGTCACTGCTATCCAGCAATGTACCAACCTTCATTTATTTATTATGAATAAATCAGGCTTTGAATGGGTAGAAACTTTGTAAATAAATATCTTCTTGCAAACAAAGAATTTAATCGAATATACTATATCTATTAGGCTCTTAAAAGATTCAGGGTAAGGTTGGATTCTAGAACTAATACTTTATTGTCTTATTAACAGAAAAAATATATCAAGTATAAAAAATTAACAATAATCATCAAAAATTTATTATTTAAAGACAATGTTCATTCACATCTAGAACCATAAAACACTTCAGTTATAAATAATTCGTAGCCAGATGGACATACTTTAACTACCTGGAAATTATGCAATGTATTGAATGTCTATCCATATAAATAATTGTAATATGAATAGACATTTTTGCCTCCTTCAATAGCAATTATGCACAAGAAATTGCTTAGAAAGGAAAATCCTAAAAATATTAGTACATAACACATTACTTTACCCATTGTGGTTTCAATAATTTGCTCAATAGGAAAAGGAGAAATCCCTAATCAAACTTATTAGCCAAAAGAGCATTAAAAGTTAAAACAAGATTTTTCGAGGGTTTTTTCTATCAAACAAAATATTCACATGAGGAGGATGACTATTAATATTTTTAAATTATTTATTTATCTTTTAGTATATTATATTTTATTCATTCAAAGAGTCAAAACATTATAAAATTATAATTACCAAAAAAAGAGCATGTATAAAAAAATAGAAATATGTAAATTATATAACAAAAATTTTAAAAATGATTAAAAGTCTATAAAATCGTAAAGATTAAAAATATAAATAAAATTTAAAAAAATACAAATAATATAATGGTAAAGAACCGTGAAGGGATAAGCGTTTAATTTATATATTACTAGGGAATTTTCATATTTAATTATTATTTTTTGGCTATATCATATGTTCTTTCAAATTTGGATTTGATAAAAGGTTACAGTTAAACGAAATATATTATAACCTAAAAATATACTTGTTCTAAATTGAACACTAAATAGTTTTACCGAAATTATATATGGAAAGGTTTGGTTTGGGGTGAGGTAGTAATAATTTATAAGATGTCTAGTTTTAAATTTTCTTAAGTGTGCATTTTATTGTGATATTTATAATAAGTTTGACATAATAGAAATTCATTATAAGATATTTATATAAAATAATAATAGTTCAACATTATATTAAACCTAGCTTAAATTATACCATTTAAAATAAAATAATTAAATGCGGCCTGTTGCGTGATTTATGTAACACTTTTTTATTTATGGAATATTAAATTATAGTAATAATTTAGTGTATTATATAATACCGGCGATTCACGCCACCACTCCGGAATACAATTGTATATAATATAAAATACCATTATTATTTTTTTAAATATTTTTTATTATAAATCGATGGATAAAAATAAATAAAAATTAACTCAAACTCAGGTAGAAAAAAAAGGAAAGCTTTATCCAATGCAATCTCGTAGCTATTAATTTATCGATTTTATTTTATAATAAAAAAATTGTATATATCCTTTTTATACTAATCTAAGTTTATACTTATAGAATGATATCTAACTTCTATTCTTGGATAAGGTAAATAAACATTACTTAATACACTGTAACCCATATAAATTTTCTCAAAGGACAAGGTATATAATATGTAGAATGTTAATAAATTCAAGTTATACTATAAACATATACTATAAAAAAATTTCACTGTTATTAATAATATAATTTTAAATTAACACTTTTATATTACTAATAATTCTATCCTTACTAAAGATCTGCCCAGTCTAGACCATTCCTCAGAAATTTTTACGAACTGGGAAACTAATACAAAATTTCTAACGGATCGGGAACAATCTGCATAAAAATATTAAAATTGGTACAGGTTGGGTATGCCTGATCTTTATTCTTAAATAATTTTTAATAGAAAGTTGAAAGTTTTTAATCAAATATCTTAGCGCAATTAGAGGTAAATCTAATTTTTTAAATTCAAAAGTGTAATGTAAATAATGATATTTAAATTCTATTAAGCCAATGTGCTTTAATTTAAAATATTATTAGACATCACACACTGGCTCAGACAAGGAGGATTTGGGGGATGAGATCCCCTCCTCCCCCATGGAATATGATGGGAAATAGTTTTTTTTATAATACTTTTATATTGATATCTAGACAAAAATTTGCTTTTATTTCTATCAAATTAATAAAATCTCCTTTTTATTTTTCTTTGTATATTTTTATAAAATCCTCTTAGAATTTTCTTTTTTTTACTTAAAAAGGTGGGGAGAAAAAAATCCTAACTTATTTCTCAAACGATGGTACGCATATTTAATTTTTTAATAAAATTTTCCTTAATAAATATTTTTTGTTATAAATTATTTAAAAAAATTGAAAACGGATAACTTTACCCAAAAACGCTATGATTAGTATGGATCCGAAGTTCTACCTTTTCTTTTCCTAACTGTAAAAGTCATTTAACATTATTTTACACTGTGGTTAAACCCTACTGTTTGAAGGTAAAAAAGTGATCTATTGTAATTGGTTTCAATTTAACCGTAACCAACATCTTTTGATTTTTTAAATCCACAAGTCTATTGGACTGCCTTTTTATGATAACGTTAAAATAATTAAAAGCATCAGAGCTACAGCCAAGACAGTCCTATATTTTAAATAGATAAAGGGTTAATTTTTTCTATTTGATGCAAATTTTACTAAAAATATTTTTCATTAAACTAAAATGTTTAATTAAGTATCAGTCTAAGTTCTTTCAAAAGTTTGCCAAACTTAGGCCTAGGGCTGATGTGTGCCTCAATATGAGATTCAGATTAATATCAAATCTTTAAAAATATAATGAGATTTTAACTATATAACTTCTACCGGATGGCTAAAAAAACCTGATTTTGAAATCTTTATAACCATAAAAAGCATCATTCGTTTTTATAAATTTTTATATTATTTAAAGTCCTACTAGCTTAATCTCACCATAGGCAAGAAGAAAATATCATTCAATATCCTCAAAATTATTTAGAATTTGGATGAGTGGTGTTTTAGAAGATTGAAATGAAATAAATACTAAAATTTAACAAAAAATAACTTCAATTCCTTTTTTTTTCACAAAAGAGTTAGACAGATTCCTACTGTGCTGTACTATAGCCAGGCTATCATTTATTTCATAATATTTATCCAATCATACTTTATAATGCAAAAAACAATCATATAGTTCAAAATACATAAAAATTATTAACAAAATATGAATCGATCCTTCTTTATCTAGTATACCATATAACATTCTTATCTTCCACGATCACACGTGAACTTGCATTTTCATGCAAACTTAAAAACCATAGTACGAGAATTTATCTTAAAAGATCGTAGCCACTTCTAAAAAACTAATGTCTCTAACATGGGTCTTGTTTTTGGAATATAAATCCTATTTCGAAGTCGTTTTAAATCGCGCAGACTTGCGTGAATAATCCATCTTTTCGCAGGGAATTCAGAATTCACACTAGGTGAATTTCAATCTCTTTCAGTAGGATAATTATATCAGCATGTATTTTTTTGATAACATTTTTAATTTACAAAATTATACTTGGAGTTTTTTGAGTGTTAATAAAAGGCATTTTTTAATAATCAAATTTTTTTTATACTAAATACTTTATTATAATTTATGATTAAGAAAAAATTTTGAAAAAATGTGAGCATCCGGCTATAATCCAACATAATTGGAATCTATATAACCTATTTGATAAAAAAAGATCGTAAAAACATAAAATTAAAAAGTATTTTAATATATTGAATGAAAACTGATTGATTTATTAGTAAATAAAGTACTAATCAGGCATAAATTTGGCTCAGCCCAGATTTTCAATTTATAATTTTCGTCTAGTATGTTCCTTATTTTATCAAAAATGCATTTTTCTTCCATCTACCAAATGAATTGAAGCATTAAAATACTAATTATGAATACATGTTTTAGAATTTGTTTCCAGAAGTTTTGCGGATTTCATAATAAAAGTTTTGATTTCACAGTTTCTATTTGGCTTATAATTCGGTTACTTTTTTGTGGAATGGCAAAAATGATTATAGAATAAATAAATGCGGTCATAAATATTAATGCAAAGTAGATATTTCGAATTTCTATATTCAATTATTATTTATTTTTTTTTAAATTTTTTTATTTTAATTTACTAAATTGATAATAAATGCTTGAAATTTAAAAAACAACTATTTTTATGTTTTTAATTTATTATAAATAATAATTGATACAGTATTTGATTATTTTTTAAAATAAATTTTAAATTATTTTCCATTGCATATAACTTGTCTAGTTTGTCATATTCCATTTTATAAAAATATATATTTGTCAATATGAAAAAACAATAATTTTAAAAAGCCTTTATTTTCTTTTGCCGGCTGAGTCTTAACTGTTGATTACACTTGAAACACGAGAGGATATTAAGAAAATCTCAGAGTTTTACGCCGATTTAGTAGGCTCATATGATAAGTTACTTTGCGATATCGTATTTTGGTATAAAAATCTTGACAGAATAGAGATTCTAAACCAAAAAATGCTCTGTACTTTATATTTCCTACCTAATATCAAAACATTATTAATTATTTTAGCTACCTTGCCAATTTTTCAACTTTAAAAAGGTTAAAAACCTATTTAAGAAATACCACCAAAAACGTTTAAATGGATTAGACCTAACAAATTCTCAGAGAAAAATAGACCACTCTTTATACATTCAAATCAAAAAATTGCAATATGATTATATTAGTTTTAATATATAATAAAAACAATATTTTGTTTATATTTAGGCGCGTACGTAGCAGATGGAGGGGGGGGGGGGGTAATTTTTGCATTAACTCTTAAAAATAATGCAATTAATACTATTTTTAATCAAAGTTTGTGTATTATTCATATTTGATAATATCTTCATATTTTTCAAATACCATTATTTGCATAAGAATTTTTTAAATAAAGTTTTATACAATAAAATTTTTAATATTATAATCTGTATAAAATATCTACAAATTTATTTTAATTTAAAAATAAAGATTGAATAAAAGAATGTTATTTATGCTAAAGTATTTTTATATAATAAATAAAATCTATAATGAAATACTTTCTAAAATTTTGTTACATGAAATATTTAAAATATTTTAACATAGCCTAAGATAGCAGAATTGAGTGTTCAAAAAATGGGGGTGGGGGGGGGGGTGCCATCCCCCAATTTAACCCCCACTCCCGGAAATTTTGACTATGCTACTGAACAGATTAAAACAATACTACTTAATGGGTTAGTGTAAACTTCAAAATTTATGTTTCTAGACGATTGACTTCTTTCACACTTAAATAGTTTTCATTTTTATAATTTGATTTCCTTTTTATGGTTGGGAAAATTGAGGAATTAATAAATACTAATCAGGCTTTAAATATTAGAGCAAACTAGATATTTATTTCTTCTATATTTTCCATTCTGGTATGATAACAATGATGGCATTTTTTTCTTATTTTGCTAATAACCTTTTTTCTTATTTATACTATCTACCATACTAATTTAAATAATATGCAAAAGAATAAACATTGATAAAACTTATAAATGCTTTCATTGGCTTTTTAATCACAAGTTTGGCCAAAATTTTGTTACTAATATATTATTTCTTGCTGGTTACTATACTGGTTAAAGCACCCACAGGCTAAAGGTTCCATGTCAATTCAGCGAAACTTTTATCGCGAATGTCGTTTATCGCGAATGGATTTTATAGAGAAACTTTTATCGCGAATCCATAATAGCGATATAAAATATGTTATCAAGCAGGAGATCTTAAACTTAAAAAATTTTGTTCCGCCTGGATAAAGTAGTCTCAGATACTAATTATTATAGATAGATATATTTAAATGTCTCGTACGACTTACAAAAAAAAATGGTAAGATAAAAGATAATAAAGAAATACACAATCATCCAGAAAATCCAATCGAAATGGAAACCAAGAAAATAATCAATTCAATTAAGAATGAAGCTTTGAATAATACTGTGGAAACTCCAACTTTATTGTGGCGAAACACGTATCTCAATTAAGTGATTCCTTATCAATGGCACTACCATCACCGAATCTTATGAAACGTGTAATTCACCGAACGCGGAGTTCAAACAGTTTTGCACCTCCGAATCCTAGCAGCCTTATTAAGCTGGTAATTCCGCATGAATATTCAATTACAGATAAGTATGAGGATTTCATAACTTCTTAGCTTCATGCGAACATTGGTTTTCTGATGGTACATTTAAATCGTTGCCACCTTTATTTACGCAAATTTATACAATTCATGGGATTAAAAATAAAAATGTTTTACCTCTCATATATATATATATATATATTGACCAATAGAAAGGATTATGAAACATATAAAAGAATATTTACTGTTATAGGTGACAACTTAATATCAACTCCAAAAAAAATTGGACGGATTTTGAAATGGCCAGTGTAAAAGCTTTCAATGAAGTGTTTCCCAGTTCGCAACACAAATGTTGCCATTACCATTTTGGCCAATCCTTTTGGCGAAACATTCAAAAATATCCAGAAAT